TGGTGGGTGCGGCTCCTAGGGCTCCTGAAGAGTGCACTGAGGAGCTGGGTTGGTCTTGATGCAAATGATCAGGCTTCCAGGAAAGAGGCTAGAGGGCTGTGCAGGCCCGGGGAAGTAGAGGGATATGATGGCAGGGACAGTCCCAGAGTGCTCCTGGGGACCCGAGAGGGAATCGAGTTGGTCTGTATGCAAAGGATCAGGATGCAGTGGTGGTTTCCCAGGTGTCTGGGGCTCCAAGACAAGGAATGGGACAGGACCCAGCTAGGAGGAGAGACCGTCGGGGGAGATGGGAGGGTGAATGAGGCTGGAGGAGTCAAGGTGCGGACGGCGTGATCAACTTACTCCTGAGAGAGAGGCCTGTGGGTTGGAGATAGGCCTGTGGGTAGTGCAGGCCCTGTACTCAATAATTTTAACACATCCCATGCTTGAACATTTGCTTTTTTTTTTTTTTTTTTTTTTAATGAAACAGGGCCTCCCTGTAGCCCCAACTTGCCTGGAACTCACTATGTAGACCAGCCTGGCCTTAACCTCACAAAGATCTATCTGCCTGCCTCTGCCTCCCAAGTGCTGGGATTAAAGGTGTGCACTACCACTTCCAGCTTGCATTTGCTATTCTTGTTGAGGCTCAAGGTGTCTCATCTTTTGCCCTTCACACTGTCTCCTTCATCTTTCACACATGATCCTTTTGTGTGGTGTGACGACTTGATGTTCCAGGCTCATCTTCAATGATTGCCCAGGGCTGGTATCAGCCATTTTTGTAGGCCTCTCTCATTCATTTTAGTAGAAAATCTGGATTAGAGGTTATCAACAATGTGCTAGGATGAATTTTGTTTCTAATTTGCTTTAATAACACTGATATTAAAATGAAATTGAACTTCAATTGTGATGGTTAGGCAACTGTGGATACATTTGTGTCATGAGCTCAAATATGAGTATAAAAGTTAAAAATGTTGAGCCAAGGGGCTAGCAAGATGGCTCAGCAGTTAAGAGCACTTGGTGTTTTTGCAGAGCACCCAGGTTTTGTTCCCAGCGTCCACATAACAGCTCACAACTGTCTGTAACTCCAGTTCCAGGGGATCCAATGCCCTCCTTTGGCCCCCCACACTCATGCGGGTGGTACACTTTTAGAAATGCAGGCAAAACATTCATACACGTGAAATAAAAATGAAATAAAATATTTTTAAAAGAAAAAGAAACTGCGCAGATATTTAATAAAATATTTAGCCAAAAGTTAAGTCTTTGTAACTTTCTTCGTTATTTGTCCTTGTGAACATCTGGAAGCCACTTTTGAGTTGGGAGGCATTGTTTCTGTACTAGCCTCTCCTGTAATTGATTCTTGTCAGAGATCTATTCACTTTCTCAAGAAATCACATCACTGTAAAACTTGCAGCATGTGAAAACTTTGGAAATATCTTGGTGGGAATGTGAGCACTGGCAGATATGAATGATCTCCAGGTTGGGGATATAGCTCAGTTGGTAGCATGCTTGCCTAGCATTCAAAGCCCTGGGTTTAATCCCCAGCACAGCATAAACTGGTCATGGTGGCACATACCTGTAATCCCAGTACTCAGAAAGTGGAGGAAGGAAGATAAATTCAAGGTCATCCTTGGCTGCATAGTAAGTTTGAGGCCACTGTGGGATACCCTGTCTCAAAAGAGAAAGCGAGAAAGTTGTGATCCTCCTGTGTTAGCCACCTTGAGTGCTTAGATTGCAGGCCCAGATCTATTTAGAATTTTCAGCATAGAATTTTTTTAATTAATTTAATTTTTGCAATTTTTATACAGTATAATTTTGTGGTATTTGGATTCATCTCCATTTGTACCTCCTCCTACTGCCCCCCACCTATTTTAATGTAATATATATATATATGACCTGTGGAGTCTAATTTGTGTCCCCAAATGTCCTTCAGATGGGTCCATCCACTGGAACCTGGTTAACCTACTAAGAGTCACATCCTTGAAAGAGACTGACTCTCCCTCTCCCAACAACCATCGATTGCCAATAGTTTGTTAGGTAGGGTTGGGTTTTCTTACTCACTTCCCCATGTCTATGCTGGGATTTTGTCTGATTTGAGCTTGTATAAGATGTGTGTGCTGTCACCATTGCTGGGAGATAAATAGTTATTTGAGTAACTGACCAGTTATGTGGAAAACTCAGTTGCCTGATGGTCATCTACCACCCCTAGCTCTTACAGTCTTTCCACCCGTTTCTTCCACAATGATCCCTGAGACTTGGGAGACAGAAGTTTGATATAGTGTCCTATTCAGAGATAAGTGCTCTGCAGCCTCTTGTTCCTGCACACTGGCCAGCCATGAATCTCTGTGTTAATCACCATCTGCTACATAAGGAAGCTTCTCTAGTGAGAGCTGAAAGACGCATTAATTTATGGGTAAAACAAGTTATTATGAGTCAATTTAATACTATGACTATTTAGTAGCAAACTAGTATTAGGTTCTCCCCTATGCCCTGTGACCTGTCTAGTCTCGTTACTAGACCTGATTTCAATGTCGGAAATGGGCTCCAGCCTATAAAGTAGACGTTAAGTCCTATTAAAGAGTGGTTTATGTAGCTGGAGAGATGACTCAGCAGTTAAGAGCACTGGCTCCTCTTGCAGAGTACCTGGGTTTGATTCCCAGCATCCACATGACAGCTAATAACCGTCTGTACCTCCAGCTCCAGGGACTCTGACGCCTTCTGACCTTCGTGGGCATTCATGTAAGCAATACACTCATACACATAAACTAAAAATAATAAAATATTTTTTTAAAAATGGTTTGTTACTCCCATAATATTCACGCCACTATCTTGCTAGGCCAGTTATTGTCATAGTTCACAAGATTCACTGCTAGATAAGGTTGATGGTTGTTTTTCTCCTTTTGGTAGCATGCATAGCACCTTCCAGCACTATGAACACTGACCAGTAGAGATGAGCTCGGAGTCAGCACCAGCTTGATTTTTCTTTGTTTCTTTTACAGTGCATATATGTAGTGTCTTCAGCAATAGGGTTTTACTATGAAATTCTGGGGGATAACCAAGACCAGGGGCAATGGCCAGTATTATTTGTGGGTTGTATGGAACCCCTGATCAAGAGCCTCAAGAGAGGGAATCCATTGCTGGCATTGGGGTTTTATTTTGTTAGCCTATGGTGTCTAGTAGGGATAATGTCCCCCTGTTAAAGTAACTCCTTTCAATCTCTTTTTGTAATATGTATGCATATACTTTAAGAGGCTTCTATAGTGGAGGTATTCTCATGACTTTTTCTAAAGGCCTTTAGTGTTGGTTATCCCTCCCCACACTCCCGCCTCTGCCCTGCCCTACCATTCTCAACCAATTTAACCCTTCCTACTTTATTATTCCCCCTTAAATCACTGCATTCTACTGTTTCCTCTCCCAGGAAGCCCTCCCCACCTTGGCCATTGTTAGTTTCCTGACTTCTCTGAATTTTCAAATTGAAACAGGCATATCTAGGATTTCAAAGATAGCATCCAGCTATGAGAGGGAACATGTGATGTCTGTCTTTCTGGGACTGGGTTACCTCACTCAGGATGATTGTTTCCAGTCCATCCATTTGCCTGTGAATTTCTTTCTTTCTCTTTCCTTTCTTTCTTTCTTTCTTTCTTTCTTTCTTTCTTTCTTTCTTTCTTTCTTTCTTTCTCTCTCTTTCTCTCTTTCTTTGTTTCTTTTGTATTTATTTATTTATTTTTGTCTTTTTGAGACAGAGTCTCCCTGTAGTCCTGGAACTTGCTATGTGGATGAGGCTGGCCTTGATCTCACAGAGATCTACCTACCTTTGCCGGGATTAAGGTCATATACCACCATGCCCTATTCAAAGTAGTTTTAATTCTCATTTCCCTGATGACTAAAGATGCTGAACATTCTAAAAAGTATTTCTCAGCTATTTGCACTTCACCTTTAGAGAACTCACTGTTCCGCTCCTTGCTCCATTTCTTAATTGGGTTGTTTGTTTTTCTGATGTTTAGTTTTTTGAGTTCTTTGTATATTTTAGATACTAACCCTCTATTAGAAGTATAGCTGGTAAAGATTTTTTTTTCCCATTCTGTAGGTTGCCTCTTCACTTAGATGATGGCGCCCTTTGATGTACAGAAGCTTTTTAGTTTCATGTTGTCCCATTTGTCAGTTGCTGGACTCAATGCTTGCACTATAGGACTCCTGTGCAGAAAGTCCTTTCCTGTGCTTATAAGTTCCAATGTAGTCCCTACTTTTTCCTCTGTCAGATTCAGAGTTTCAGGTCCTATATTGAGGTCCTTGATCCATTTGGAGTTAAGTTTTATGCATTAGCATAAGATTTTTTTTCTTTATGAATGGTGTAAGAGCATAGCCATACAACAATTCTGGATCTTTGCTTTTGTTTCTGAGATAGGGGTCTCATTATTTACCCAGGCTTGTCTTAGGCAGTTCACATGCCCCTTGAGCCCTTTCTTGTCCTCAAGTGATTCTTCTGCCTCAGCCTCATGAGTAGCTAGGCCTACACATACAGGCCATCATGCCTTCCTTTCTATACAGTATATACAGTATTCACTAATTTCTGTCAGCTAGTCAATACTTCATTATAAAGTAGGCTTTGTGTTGATGGTTTTTCCAACTGTAGCTAATGTGCTGGTTCTAAATATGTCTAAAGTAGACTGGGCTAAACTATAATGCTTAGTAATTTAAATGTATTAAATCCATTTCCCATTTACTGTATTTTAGTTTATGATGGATTTATTGAGATATGACCCCATAATAAAAGGAGCATTTGTTTCTAGAACTTGCATTAAAACCTAAAACAACTGAATTTTGTTTATTTCCTGTTTTCAGCATCAGAGATTCAAATGATGACACTTCCGCCGGGTCAATTTGTGATCACAGACAGTGGTGTGGCAACACCTGTCACTTCTGGCCAGGTGAAAGCAGTAACTCCTGTAAGTCACCCTACTCCTACTTTGTAATGGCTTTTGTCATAGGGGTATTTTTTTGGCAGTCCTGGGCATGGAACCTAGGATTTTGTGCATCCTAGGTAGGTGATCTACCACTAAGTTACCTCCCTAGCCCTCCAGTTTGTTTGTTTTGTTTTTAATTAATTGGTTTATTCTGTTTTCTCATAGTAGATGATCTGAAAGCTGGTTCTTTACTGCTTTGTCCTGAATGCCTTGCTCACGAGTCTAGATTATAGCAAGTGCTCAGAGAATGTCTATTCAGCTGGTAACTACAATGAACCTACTAGATCACAGTTTTATGCATGCTTTGGAAGTATTACACTACCTCAAGACTATCAATTCTTAGTAGAAAATAATATAGTGAATCAATTGTGGTGGTTGGGTTTTTTTGTGTGTGTGCTTGTGTGCGTGCTTACGTGTATTCATGTGTGCCTGTGTGTGCGTAAGACAGGTTTCACTATATAAGTCAAATTGGTCTTAAACTTGCAATCCTTCTGCCTCAGCTTCTTAGTGCTGGGACTATCATGTACCACCATTCCTATTTTACAAAACTTTTAGAAGAAAAAGGGCGTGTTGAGATAGGGTCTTGCTACCCTGAGTGCTGGGATTATAGTCATCAGCAACCATTCTTAGGTATTACAGAGCTGTGTTAAATAAACCTCCCAAGGAGAAAAACATTGCCATAAATTATCAGTTTTAACTTGGGCAGTGTATTGGTTTTCTGTTTTCTCTTACTGTGATAAAATACCATGACCAAAGGTAACTTATACAAGGAAGAGTTTATTTTAGCTTATGGTTTCAGAGAGAGAGTCCCTAATGATGGATCAGGCATGGCAGCTCGATCAGGAAGCTGAGAGCTTACATCTTGAACTACAAACACAAAACAGACTTCAAACTAGAAGTGGGGAGAGGCTGTGAACTCTCAAAGTCCACCCTCAATGACATGCTTCCTCTAGCAAGTCCATACCTCCTAAAGATTCCATGACCTTCCCAAACATTGTCACCAACTAGGGACCAAGTGTTCAAATACTTGAGCCATGGGGGACATTTCTCATTCAAACCACCACAGGCAGACACAGGGTTGATTGTATCTATTATCTATGTTTTAATCTTCATGGGTTTATGCTGGCCTATCTCTAAGTTATTAGAAGACAGCGTACATAAATTTAAAAAAATTTTTTTTATTATTTTTATTTTATGTGTATGGGTGTATTGCTTGTATGTATGTAAGTGCACCCGTGTCTTGCAATGCCTGTGGAGGTCAGAAGAGGGGTCAGATCCCCTGGAACTGGAGTTAGGATGGTTGCTAGCCTCCATGTGGGTGCTGGGAATCAAACCCAGTCCTCTGCAAGAGCAGTCAATGCTCTTAACCACTGAGCCAACTCTCTAGCCCCAGAGTACATAAATTTAAGTTCTGAAAAATAGTTTTGGACTTGGGGTTGGAATTCAGTAGTAGAGTGAAAGGCCCTGGGTTTAGTCCCTAGCACTGCAAAAAATAGCAAAAAACAAAAACAAAACTACAACCAAAACCTTTTTGAGAAATAAACTCTGAAGATCTGGCATATGGCATGATGACTATAGATCATAATGTTTGGTGCTACTCTTACATGTTCTCACCACACACAAAAAAAGTAGATTTGGTAGTGTTAGTGGATCCTATGTTAAGAGGCAGCCCCCTCCCTAGAGGAAGAACCACATGGGAAAGTAAATCATGGTCAGAAATCTCCTTGGGGCAAGGATCCGGAACATAAGGCCCTAGATGAATCAAGTGGCTATTTAGCTATAGATTTTTTTCTGGACAATCTTGAAAAGATTGCCTGAGTTTTCCTTTCTGACTTCTTTTTTTTCCCCTTTGTGCTGGCTTCATGCTACTATAAAAATGAACCTGTGATAATTAACTAAAACCCAAGGTTTATTCAAGTAATGATTTGGAGGCTGCTGTCCGTTCCCATAGTCCTGTTGTTTTGGGCCACTATTGAGACAGCACATCATAGCAGCCGTGCACAACAAAGCAAAGCACTCACCTCACCAGGCAGGAAGCAAAGAGAAGAGAGGGGATGAGACTCTCAGCCAAGGCCCATGACATAAGGGCCTCCCACTAGGCCCCCACCTCCTAAAGGTCCTCTACCTCCCAAGAGTGCCATGCTGGGAACCAGGTCTTCAACACCTATCATAGCATCTTGCTTCTGTAGAAGACAGATTTCCCCCATTTCAATGTAAAGCTGAGTTTGGTGGCATATGCACTGATTCAAGCACTTTGGAGGTAGGGGCAGAAGGACCAGGAGTCCAGGGTCTTTTTCAGCTGCTTAGTGAGTTTGAGGCCAGCCTGGCATACATGAAAACTTACCTCAAAAAAAAAAAAAGTTAATATAATGAAATGCCCAGTTTGTATGTGTATGAAATTCTCAAGATCAGAGAGAAAAATAAAGACAAGGGCCTAGAGAGATGGCTCAGTGATTAATAGCATTGGCTATTCTTACAGAAGACTGGGGTTTGAATCCCAGCACCTACATGGCAGCTAATAGCTGTCCGTAACTCCAGTTCCAGGGGATTTGACCCCCTCTTCTGTCTTCCGCAGGCACTGCACAACACGGGTGCATTTACATACATGCAAGCATAACACTTGTACACACAAATTTTTTTTAATTTAAAAATTAAAAAAACGAAGACAATATGAGAGTTCCCTTAAATGTGCTCAATGCAAGACCCTTTATTCAAGACTGCACTCTTCCTGTGCTTTTTTTTTTTTTTTTTTGATGGTGCTATAGATTGAACCCAGGACCTTATCATGCTTCTACTGAGCTGCCTCTTTCCTCTGTTCTCAAACGTAAAGTGCGTATTTGATGGTGGTAGCATATTTTAAATGTCATTCTTTGGCAAAATAAAATTTGGGGACCATTTAGATTTTTTTGTTTCTCGTTATGTGTGTGCATTTCTGTGTACACATGTGTAAGGAGGCCAGAGGTCAACTTTAGGTGTCATTCTCAGGAGCTATCCACCTTGTTTTTTGTGACAAAGTTTCTCATTGACTTGGGGCACACAGATCACTGGGGTCCAGGGGTCTGTTTGTCTCCACCTTCCTAGCTGTGGGATTACAAGTGTGCGTCACTATACCTGGTTTCTTTTGTGGGGAAGGGTGTAGTTCTGGGACTTGAGCTCAGCTCCCTCATGCTTCTGCAGCAAGCAGTTAAGTAACTGACCTATCTCACAAGCCCCATTTAGTTTTTTGGGTTGGTTTTTTTTTTTTCTTTTCTCTTTTCTTTTTTTCTTTATCTTTTGGAGACAGGGTCTCCCTGTAGGTCCAGTTGGCCTGGAACTCGCTATGTAGACCAGGGTGGCCTTGAACTCACTTCCACTTGTCTCTGCTGGGATTAAAGGCATGCATCACCATGCCTGGCTTTTAGTATTATTTTTATTTTATTGGGCTTCGAACTAGGAACTATTACTCTTAAGAGACCTGTCTTAGGAAGAGGTCTGCCTCTTTAAGGAGACTTTATCACTTTTTTTTGATTCATTTTCTCTTAACATTTGATTGATAATATTTTTTAAAGTGAGTGCACCCGTGTCGTGCATTGCCACGGAGGTCAGAAGAGGGCTTTGGATTTCCCTGGAACTGGAGTTAAGGTCAGTTCGTAGCCACCATGTGGGGCTGGGAATCAAACCCAGGTCCTCTGCAAGAGCAGTCAGCGCTCTAAACCGCTGAGCTATCTCTCCAACACCGACAATTTTTAAAAAAATTTCTGAATTCTTAGGAGCAATACAAAAAGTACATTTTAATTCTTTTTTTTTTTTTTTTTTTTTGTAGACCAAGCTGGCCTTGAACTCACAGAGATCTGCCTCTGCCTCCCGAGTGCTGGGACTAAAGGTGAACACCACCATACCCAACTATGTTTTAATTTTTTAAATTAAAATCAGTTGCCAAGTAAGTTACCACTATGCTGCAAATTTTGGTACCTGAAGTTCCTCTTTATGTTACTTGATGACACAGCAAAGCTTCTCCTATGTACAAAGTCAACTAGAGTGACATAAACCTCCTCCCGGAAGACATGGGTAAAGCAGCTCTCACATGTGCATACTTGAGTCCCCTGGTAGCATTTCTTGGCGTATTCCTTCCTCTCCTCTGCTAGTTCCCTCACACCCTTTCATATACCAGAATTTTTAAATATCTTTTTTTCCGCTCTCTAGGGTCATTATGTGCTATCAGAAAGTCAAGCAGAATTGGAAGAAAAGCAGACTTCTGCCCTATCTGGTGCAGTCCAGGTTCAGACCTCTGCACACAGTGATTCCCTGGACTCCCAGACCTCCAACCAACAGCAGACCACACAGTACATCATCACAACTACTACCAATGGGAACGGGGGCAGTGCAGTGCACATCACCAAGCCTTAGCGAGCACACTGCAGCTGGAGGCTAGCACTTGCATCATGTCTTCTCAGTCATAGCCTGAAGCTTCTAACACCCAAACCTCTTTTTAAGAGTATTATTATTATTCACTCAAGAATTTGGAAACTACAGTTTTGACAGTCAAACATATGCCCGGGGTGATTTTGCAAAGGTCATCTTTACCAAATTGACTCAAACCCTTGGGATTTCTGCCATGGAATACAGCTCTTTCAGGGGAAAGTAGATTTCAAGATGGAGAAACTTTGCCTTGCTCTTGAGCTGGCTTTTTGTTTGTTTTTAAACACACTGACAAGCCTTACTTTCCCTTTGTGGAAATATAAAGTGGCATATTATGTTCATACCAAAGGTGGAGACAGGATGTACCACACCCATGGTCATTGGACTTTTGAAACCCAAGCCATGGCATCAGAGGAGAAGGAGCATTTCATGGGCATGATTAGGTCAGGACCACTTTATCCTATATATCTGAGTTTCCAGTAATTTAACAAAGGCAGCTTATTGGATGAAAAAATTAAAATGATGAGTTAAAAGTTTGATGGTGGTGTTTGAAAGAAGCACTTATCTAAATTTTTCTTATTGCTGATTCATTCTCTCTCTCTCTCTCTCTCTCTCTCTCTCTCTCACTGTCTCTCTCTCTCTCCCTCTCTCCTCTCCATCTCTCCTCTTCCCTTCCCCCTTCTATATAGGGTCTTACTATAATGCCTGGTACAGACCCAAACTCCTGGGCTCATGTGATCCTCTTGCCTTACCTCTCAAGTAGCTGGGACTCCAGTCATGCACCACCATGATGGTTGTTTTTAAACTTTCCGATATTTGAAAACTTGTAGGGAAGTGGTAGTACTTTCCATAGATGCCAGCCCTCGGCAGATTTGGCAGACTTTCATGTACTGATAGTTCTTATTTTTAGTAGTCCACAAACATAAACTCCTTGGAAGAGAAAAGGTTGTGTGATATCAGCAGAATTTAAGCCTCTACATTAAAGCTTTGCCTCCAAAACTCCTACACATACATATACAGCTATGTAGAGAGACAGACAGACAGACAGAACTGAAACCTTTTCTGTCTTGCAAGATCCATTTGCCATTCATTATTAAAGGCTAAACTCCTTACCAGGCACATCAGGTATATGTCTAACGTTTGTTTTCCTTGTGGTGCTGGGAATCAAACCCAGGGCCTCTTGCATGGTAGGCAGATTCTCCACCACTGAGCTACAACTCCAGCCCCTACATTAAACCCTTGTTTACATCATTCAGTGTATTTTAGTACTGTCTTAAAATGAACATTCTTTAAAAAGTTGGGTAAAAGGTGGCCTTTCTTATTTCTAAGCATTTTAAACTTTAAACATATTGTAACTCACCCAGAACTTGTAAGATGACCAACTTCCTGCTTAGGGAAAAAATTAAAATAGGGGGATCATTTGTAGTACATTAAAGTAAGGGATCTGGATGAATCTTAACGCTGTTAGTTGGAAGAGGAAAATCAGTTTTCCATGATGACAGTTTGTCTCTGTGTGTTCCTCTCTAGGAGCCTTAGTTGCTATGAATCCAGAGGGGAAAAGTGTTTCCCTTCATTTTACTGTACATTCCAGTTGTACCTATAAAGCATCTTAACAGTCAGTCTGTATTTTAACAACTTTTTGTGACATACATTTTTAGAATAATTATGGTACAATAAATTCATTTCAAATGAAGTTAACCAATTTATTTTATTTACATTTTTGAGGAAAACTGGTTCTATAACTTAAGGACTATAATAACTTCTTTATGGTAAAGATACCTTTCTGAAAAGTAAACAATTTGTTTTAAGTAATTTTATTATATAGATCCTGCACTTTTGAGACCTCGTTCATAGACTTATGCCTGAAGACTTGCTCACTAACAGAACTTGAGAAAATTACCTCAAAAATGTGTCGAAACTGAAAATGGACTCAGTATTTTTGGCCACATAGAGGTAACAATATTTTCAACAGATAATGTTGCTTTGAGTCACAAAATGCAAGACTCTGGTTCCCAAAGTCCCACAATGTAATGACTGTAAATCTCCCAGGGTCTAGAGTCTTGCTAGGGTGAAGAATACTAGATTGTCCCAAAGATTTTAGTTTTTATAACTTAAATTTGGCCAGTTAGATTCTTTTTCATTTGAACCAGCAAGGTATCTCCCTCTTCTCAGGAATAGCCCAGTGATTAAAACAAACTAATCACTGAAGGAATGTTCGTTTTATGTCAGTTATTTTTAAGTTTTAAAATACACAGAGGAAAACATTGTTGAAGGACTCCTTTGTCTCTTTCCCTTCTAAGTTTTCTCTCTCTCTCTCTTTCTCTTGTTCTTATGTGGAATAAATAAATGCTGTAACATATATCATAAACCAGAGATGCAGGTGGCAGAAGTCAACACTGTCTTAAGATCAGGTATTTTGCGCATTCGTCTCAAGGTGATTGAAGAAATGGCACAGTCTAATCCCTCTGAAGACCCAATTTAGGAAACATGTATGTAGCCAATGTTTATGTGGTGGTCTCTCCTCAGTCACATTGACACTGTAGACTGCACTCTATACAGTGTGGATATTTTGGAGTGGGTTCCATATAGATTTTTACAATTTTATTTTTTAGTTTGTGCCCAGAGAAATGGACATTTCATCATGTAAGACTCCTCTTTTTCTGGAAAGACTTTCTGTTCGATGTACTTGACTTATTTTTTGACCTGGAATTATCCTTTAAAAAAATTTTTTTTAATGTCTAGAGCTGAAAAAGCACCTCACAAGATGCTAAAACTGACCCATTGGTTGAAAATGTTGACCCTATTCTGTTATTTAAATGTGAACATTTATGTATATTCAGTGAGTTATAGTGTTAATAGTCTTGTGCTACCAAGCAAGTGTAAAAATTAATAAATATTTTTTTTTAATAAACCTGTTCCTTGTTTGTGTGTATGAAGCTATGAGGTCTAATGATATGGTTAAACCTTTTCTTTGAAATATTGCACCTTGGGGATTGCAATCTGATCTACATAGTGAGTTCCAGGCTAGCCTAAGCTACAGAGTGAAACTATCTCAACACTCTTCTTCCTGAAATATTACACCTTAGTTTCTGGTCCCAGACTGGCATTTAAGAATCTTGAAAGTTGTCCCTCCATTCTCCAACTAACATATAGAAAACTGAACAAATTGAAAAATCAATCTTAGATCCATTGAGAACTGAGGTCATAGGACAAACTGCTGCCCTCAGAATGACATATACAGAGAATCACAACTTTCAGAGCAGAAACCCACCCCAGAAGCTTCTAAGGGTACCAGAGCCACCTGGGATGGAAAAATTTGAATTATATTGACAAGTTGCTAGAGGCTCAGTATAGAGAAGTCTGAGAGAGCTCCAGGGAGGGGCAGGAGAGATGGCTCAGGCTTTTGATGCCTCTCCAGCCCCAAGTTCCATTCCCAGTCCCCATGTTGGGTGGCTTACAGCTGCCTGTAACTCCAGCTCCAGAGGATCCAATGCCTCTGACCTTGTCAGTCACCTGCTTTTACATGTACATAGCCTTATACAGTGACACACACATATGCATAATTTTTAAAAGTTAAAAAACAAAGCCGGGCATGGTGGCACAGGCCTTTAATCCCAGCACTTAGGAGGCAAAGGCAGGCAGATCTCTGTGAGTTTGAGGCCAGCCTGGTATAAATAGTGAGTTCCAAGCCAGCTGGGGCTACAGGGAGACCGTGTCCCCAAAAGACCCTCCTCCCCCAAAAAAGTTAAAAAACAAAACCTCCAGGGGATCCAGTTATTGGGGAAGGAAGGGTCCCACATTTTTATGAGCTTGAGATGGTTCTCATAGTGAATCCTGGGAAAGATCCCCTTGTGCTTCTGGGAGGATGAGAGGAAAAGAAATCCTGTGACATGTACCAGAGCACCCTGTGGTAGGAACTCCCCTATAAGAACAAAGAAAAAGGAATAATGCAGTGCACGTTATGCCTGAGTGCACTACACAATTCTGCCTGTCATGACCTTGTTGCACAGAGCACCCAACCAGAATATATATGGGCAACAAACTGAATTGTAAAGGGGAACTAACAGAGGGTATAAAAGGCTGAGTCTTTCATCATTAGAGGCTGTCTTTGGAGTACAGGCCCCTGGAGTCAGGTGATAATGTGAACAGTCTGCTTCCTGGAGGAAAGAAAGCCTCAGTCCCTCATCTCTACACATAGCTCCTGCAACATACTTGTGGGCTGTGTCCAGAGATTAAGACAGTATTTTTGCCTTCTATGTCATTGGGTCTGACTCTCAGAGCAGCTGGAGTGGGGGACCTGGTCTGGCACCAATGGGCCCATTGATCTATTGATCTGGAGAGGAGGTTAGCCCTCCCAGTGTACCAGGATAAAGACCCCAGAGGAGTACAAGGGAACCCAGAGTCCCAGGAACCATTTTGAGGAGAGCTGACACATTGGACTGGTAAGAACCTGGGTTCATCCACTTTGAAGTCTGCCTCTAGATATAGGGGAGCTTGATCACCTCCAAGAGTTGGCCTAGAAGCCTCACAGGAGGTGAAATGACAACTCAAAGACATTGTATGAATATAAACAAACTGGTTGGTAAAAGGGAAAAATAAGACTCTGGGGGAAAAAAATGACCTTCACTACTTTTTTCCCCTCATGTGAGGTGGCTGGTGGAAAGATAAAAAGGCAGAGCACAGACATGCTGGGATGAGGACTGTGGCTGGGCCTGGAGGCCAGAAGATCTGGGACCAAGGCAGCACCTGTGCCATGTGCACATGGTTGGGAAAGCAGTGACTGTCAGTGAAGCTTCCGCCTGGGAACAAATGGGGTCAGGCCCAAGGCAATGGAGGGTGGAGTGTTGGTCTTTCTATGAAGACCTGCTTTTGTTTCAATGGGCCAAAGGCAGCTACTGTTTAGCTCCAACCTGGCTGTGCTGAGCACTCTGCCTGAAGGGTGTGTGTGCAAGGCAGAACTCAGGGCAGGACCACAGGGTCTCTGTAGCCTAGAGCTGGACATAGAGGAAATGGCCACCTTTGTTCCTACAGCAGGTGGGCTGAGGGCCCAGTGACATCAGAGGCTGGGCCTCAGCAGCAGCTCAGGCCACTTCCTACTTCAGGCTCTCTACAGAGCAACAGGCAGGGCTAAAGGTGCCTGCCACTGCTCAGGAAACCTGACCCCAAGATAGCAATTGAAATAGAGAGGTAAAAAAGAACTCTTGGGATAAGCTGGGTGGTCGTGGTAGCACACGCCTTTAATCTCAGCAATTACAGGCAGAGGCAGGCAGATCTCTCTGAGTTGGAGGCCAGCTGGGGCTACAGGGAGACCCTGTCAGAAAAAAAAAAAAAAAAAAAAAAAAAAAAAAAAAAAAAAAATCCCAGAACCTTAGCAGCTTTCAGGAAAAGTTACTCAAAATGGATTATAGACCTAAATGTAAGATGCAGAACAGTGAAACTCCTAAAAGACAACATAGGGAAAATCCAGACGATGGTCACTGGGGTTTCATGATGGCTTTTTAGATGAACGCCAAAGGTATAATTCATAAAATAAATAAATTATTGGTAAGTTAAAATGTTCTACTCCAAAAAGTTGTCAAGAAAATGACAGAGATTGAGTTTCTAATTTTTCCTCCAAGCTGTAGCCCGCTTCCACTTTTGGAAGTGTTTTTTTTTTTTTTTTTCTTAATAAGCTGTATATATTTATAAACAGACCTGAGGGACTATATTTGCAGATGACATATTGGATAAAGAACTGTTATCTAAAATCACTAGGAATTCAAACTCAACAATAAAAAAACAAACAGCCGTAGTAAAAAATGGGCCAGCCACACCTTAGCAAAGACTAATACAGATGGCAAATGAACATATGAAAATATGTTCCACATTCATTGTCATCAGGGAAATTCAAATTAATACAATTTTAAAAAATTTTATTTATTATTTTTTATTTTGTGTGTATGCATGTGTGTATTGCCTGCATGTAGGTAAGTGCACCCATGTCATGCAATGACCATGGAGGTCAGAAGAGACTGTTGGAGTCCTTGGGATTGGAGTTACGGACAGTTGTTAGCGGCCATGTGGGTTCTGGGATTCGAACCCGGGTCTTCTGCAAGAACATCCAGTGTTCTTAACCTCTGAACCTTCTCTCCAGCCCCAAATTAATACAATATTAAAATAACACAAGGGTGTGTGTGGGGGGTGTAGCTTAGTGGCAGAGTGCTTGTGTTCAATCTCTAGCATCAAAACTAAAAACAAACAAACAAAACCATTATCTACTATAAGCTTGGAAAAGGAAGATTCAGTCTCTGCCAAATTGGTACTGTAGAACTGCAATGCCAGTACTTAGAAGGCTGAAATAGGAAGATAGCGAGTTTTAAATCAACCTGCACTCTGTGGCAAGACCCTGTCTTGGAATCAAAATAAACATTTCATACAGAGCTATCAGGATCACACACACACACACACACACACACACACACACACACACACACGAATGGCAACACTGAATCTGCCAATAATGTGAAGAAACTACTGTTTATTCATTACTGGTGGGCATACAAAATGGTATGGCCACTTTGCAAAGTGGCTTGGCAGTTTCTTGCAGATCTAAATATACTCTTTCTCTGTGATCCAGCATTACCTTCCTTGTTATTTACCCAAAGGAGTTGAAAACTTATGACCACACAAAAACCTGCAAATGAATGTTTATAGATCTTTATAATTGTTAAAATTTGGGATGTAATCAAGATTCCTTCAGGAATTGAGTAAACTGAATAAACTGTCACTCAGTAGGAGAGTAAAGTGTGGCACATCCAAGCAATGGAATATTATTAATCACTAAAGAGAAATGAGTTATCAAACCATGGTGGAAATACATAGAGGAAACTTAAATGCACACTAAGTGAAAGAAGTGACCTGAGCTGATGTGGTGGTGCACGCCTTTAATCCCAGCACTTGGGAGGCGGAGGCAGGTGGACCTCTGTGAGTTCAAGGCCACCCTGGTTTAAATAGCCAGTTACATGCTAGCTGGGGCTACAAGGAGACCCTGTCTCAAAAAGACCAAAAAAAAAAAAAAAGTGATCTGATCTGAATAGTGATAGATATATTATATATTGAATGATTCCAAATATATGACTTGGAAAAGTCAAAACTATGGGTATAGTTAAAAGATCAGTGGTTGCCAAGTGTAGAAATTAGGATGAATAGGTGGAGCACAGATTATTTTGGGGGTGGGGAGTGTAGGTTTAGGGGATTTTGGTAATGGGTGGAGGTTATGCATGCATGGAGTGGGCAGGGAGTATGTGGGAGACCCCTAATTTGTTAAATTTTGCTGTGAACCAAAACTGCCCTAAAAAACAAGGTCTATTCGAAACGACAGTTTATCGTGTTTTGACTCTCTTGCTCACCAGGAATGATGCTGCACTGCCATTCATACTTGGTAGTTTCTAACTCAAGAACCTCAGAACAGTCCAAGTGGAGCTGAGAGCTCCATGAGGCAAGTGAGGGCACAAAGATTTGGCTTTATTTGGAAAGCACTATCTCCTGTTGGGAGGAACATTAGCTTGGCACGCCCCGCTCCTCTGACATACGCTCGTTCAAGCGAAAGAACTGAAGATGCTCTCTGAAGGACCAGAGCTGCAGAGGGGTAAGTGATGTGGTCATTCCAAATAAAACCCAGTTAGTAAAAGGAAAGGGACCGCGATCCTGAGTAAGAAGAACATCACAGAGTTTGATTTAAAATGTAATTTCCCGATGTTTGTACTTTCTGGAAGTTGTGAAGACTCGGGCTGAGGTCTGCGTTCTCACCGAACCTTCAAGAAGGCATGATTTTCTCCACTGTACGGTGGGCACAGTGCGCAGCGCCTAAGGTCGCAGCGCAAAGCCTACTGGATAGGGTGTTTAGCATGGCGCCTGGCTAGGTCGTGCTCTGATCTCGCGGCCGATGAACAGCGACATTGCCCCGTCCCCCAGAACTCTAAACCAGAAAAGCCCACAGCGGATCGGAACCCGCACCCTAGACTCCGAGGCGGCCAGGACGTCACAGCCAGGTCGGCGCTGGCCCAAGTGTAGCCTCAGGCCCCACGCCGTCCATCTAAGCCCCACCCGTACCCGCTTAGGCCCCGCCCCTACTAGCTCAGGTCCCGCCCCCGCCTGCCCATCCCCGCCCAGGCCGTCGAGGCCCCGCCCCAAGTCCCCGCCCCTTCCTGCGCCGGGCCCCGGAACGTGCACGCACCCAGACGCCTTGCGGGAGCGAGCGCGTCCTAGAGCCCGGGGCCCTAGAAGCTCAGCGGGTGTGGAGACCCGAGGCCTCGGGAAGGTGAGGGCGGGCCTGGGCGTCTGGGCTGAAGGGTGCGGGGCGGAAGAAAGAAGAAGGAAGTGGGGCTCCGAGGTCGCCGCCCTAGTGGGCAGACGGTGGGCCCAACGCATGTGCAGCGGGTGGGAGAGGGTTCGGGTTAGGACGGGGTGGGGGAGGGGCGTCGGGCTGTGCCCAGGTCGGGCGGGTCGCTAGGGTCCATGGACTGGGAGCCAGCTATTGCCCCGGAAGTAGCTCGCGGTTTAAGTTGGGCTTCGGGAGGGCCTGGGAGGGGAGGTTAGCCCAGGTGCACAGCCAAGAAAAAAGGCCTCTCGGGGAGGCCTTCCTGGTTTAGTTAGGAAGTCCAGGACACCCCAAGCCTTAAAATCCTTGGCTTCCGGGGTTCCAGCTCTCCCGTAGCTGCCTGCTTTTTGTATTTTGAGTTCCTGTGCAGAATAGCGGCAGGACAAGGGTTGTCACTGGATGATACTCAGTTTAGCTTAACTATCCTTCGGCTTTGATAGAAGCTTATGAACAAGTTAAGTTGTGCATCTGTCAGACAAGGTGCTGATTTTGCAGTCTGTTCCGTGCCAGTTACGTTAAGAGGATTTTATTCAACGCGTCAGGTTGCTTCTACAGATTTCTTGTTTTGAAGTTTTGTTAAGGGCGTGTGTTTTGCTCCTTTCTCACCTGCCTCAGTTATTTAGGTCCCAGGTACATTAAAGATGTCTTCATACAGCTTTGTGCTGAAGATGATACACCTCAAGGTTGCTTGAGGACCTCTCAGCAACCTCGTTGTAACACTGTTATCTTTCATAGATCCTTGAGGACCTCTCAGCAACCTCATTGTAACACTGTTATCTTTCATAGATCTGAAATCTTGTCAAGAATACTTGAAGTAACTTAGTGGAAAGGTGTTTCATTCTAGATGGATTACAAACCTGCTTTTTATCGGTTGAGAATTTGGGGGATGGGAAGTACCCACATTAAGTTGCATAAACTGTCATTTAGCTGGGGATTATTCACTGTCAGATTCCAAGATTGGAAATAATGGGAGGAAGGCCCTGGTCCAGCTCCTCTTTATCTTACAGGTAAGAAGCTGGTGAGGTAAGATTTGCAGAATGTCACAGATTTAGTGGCAGCCCAATTAGAAATCTGGTGTTTTGATTAGGTCCAGTTTATCTTTCCACATTTGTGAGCTTGTTGGGTAGGAATAGGAGGTGATAGTGGATGAGTTCAAGTTCACTGTCCAGACCTGTAACCTAAACTTCACACCTGATTCCAGCTGTCAAGCTTTGTGAGATGCTCTCTGAAAATGTTCTTGTATTTAGTTTTCTAAAGGTGGTCAGCCCTGTACTGTTAATACAGGAAAGAGAAAAGTTGCATTAATTTACATGGAACTGAAGATCAGATTGGTCACTGACTACTATTTGTTGTAGTAGTCTGGTGCTTGGAGCCCCAAGAGTTTGTGTGGACTAATAAAATCGTATCAAGAAGTTTTCCCAATTTAAAGTGCGAGTGTACACAAGAGGCATTGTGGGTAGTGTTAAGAGCGTTTGCAGGTAGGCTGACCTGAGTAGTGCTCTGGGGTTGGATAAGCTAGTTACCTACTTTGATCCTCAGTTATTAGTATCTGTAGAATACCTGTAGTAAGCGCAGTTGTAAGAAAGACTTAAATGAGACCTTGCACTTACTAGACTTGATGAAGTAACTCAGTGTCATTGCTTTGCTAATGTGTGTGTGTGTGTTTAATCTGATATTAAATACTATCGTGTATGTGTGCATACTTGTGCACACATGGCACAGCATGTGTGTCAAAGTCAGGGGACAACTTTTAAAAGTCAGCTCTCTCCTTCCACCCTGGGATCCAGGGATCAAACTCACGTCCTCAGGCTTGTGTGACAAGCACTTTTACCTGTTGAGCCATCTCACCAGTTCTGTATGTGAATTTCAAATGAGCTTTCTAATAAGTGCTGAAATAATTACTAAAGCTGGGTGTGGTAGTGCTCACCTTTAATCCCAGCACTTGGGAGGCAGAGGCAGGCGGGTCTTTGTGAGTTCAAGGCCAACCTGGTCTACATAGTGAGTTCTAGGTCAGGTGGCACTACAAGGAGACCCTGTCTGAAAAAAACAGAAACAAAAAAATTGCTAAAGAAATTATGTTCTGATAGAGAGGTTATTGACCTGGGAACTCGAAATTAATGGACCAAGATCTGTTTTTTATTTATTTTTTTGAGTCTCATACAGACTCACTCTGTAGCCCAGGCTGGCCTGGGACTTGTGGTACTACTCCTGTTTCAGCCTCCCAGGTGCTGGGATACACACATGACTCACCATGCATGATTTATCATTTAATTCCAGAGTCTTATTCTTCTATAAAATGAAAATATAAGAAAATTAAGAATTTAGGAATTGTATGAGGCAAGAGGAATGCTGCATGTTTGACACCTTCCTGGGCCACATATAGTGAGTTCTAGGCTAGCCCCGCCCCCCAAATGAACAAAAGATTTGAGATTGAATATTAGCATCAAGGGGATTTCTGTCTTTCTGCCTCAGAGTGTGTACTTTTGTCCAGAATACCTGTGGAGAAGAAACAATGGATTCCTTGGATCACATGCTGACAGATCCCCTAGAACTGGGTCCATGTGGAGATGGTCATGGCACTCGGATTATGGAGGATTGCCTTCTGGGTGGCACCAGGGTCAGTCTGCCAGAGGACCTTCTGGAGGATGTGAGTAGTAACATTGTTGCCAGCATTTCTGCTGTCCTCTTCCCACAGCAGCTCTGCCTAACCTTTCCCACTGTAGATTTTGCCTTTCCTACTCCCTTTTGATGTCTGCCTTGCAGGAAAATTGAGCCCTGTTTCTTTTTCTTACATTGTGGTTAGTATTCCGATCAAGGACGATAGGATAAGCTTCATTCTACATGTTCTTCATGTTTGATAGCATGCCAGAACAACTTGATAGCCTAATATACATGAACGTGTATTAATTTTTCCAAAATTTATGTATGTATTTTATGTGTATGAGTATTTTACTTGCGTGTATGTAAGTGCAACACCTGCATGCAGTGCCTGTGGCAGTCAGAAGTGTTGGATCCCCTGGAACAGTTGTAGACTGCCATGTAGGTGCTGGGAACTAAACCCAGGTCCTCTGCAAGAGCAGCCAGTGCTTTAGCTGATAAGCTCTCCAGTTCAGTGAACTCTATTCTAACAAGATAATTTTCATTAATTAAAACAAAAGGTTGTATATTAATAGTGGAATCACATTTCCCTTAAAATAGTTAACCTGTTGTGAATCATTAAAGAAACTTAGACGTGTCTGTGTCCAAAAGATAACCTTCTAGTCAAATAATAGTATGTGCTTTGGGATAGAACATCAGCCTGTCTTTGATCACTTTCATAGGCAAGATGTGTAGTCATCATTTTTTTTTTTTTTTGAGACAGTCTCTCTGTAACCCCAGGTGGCCTGGAACTTACTATATAGACCAGGCTGGCCTCCATCTCACAGAGATCTGCCTGCCTCTGCTTCCTGAGTGCTGGGTGTGTGCCACTATGCCTGGCTTGTAGTCATGTTAATGTGGTTACCATGCATCAAGGATGTTTTCTCTCTCTCTCTCTCTCTCTCTCTCTCTCTCTCTCTCTCTCTCTCTCTCTCTGTTTGTGTGTGTCTATGTGTGTGTGTGTCTAAAATAGGGTCTCGCATCCCAGACTGTCCTTGAGTTGATTATGTAGCTAAGGATGACCTTGAATTTCTTCCTTCCTCTGCTGGAATTACAGGTGTTTGCCGCTGCACCTAGTTTATATGGTACTGAGAATTGAACCCAGGGCTTTACATGCTAGGCAAGTACTCTGCCAGCTGCACTATATCCCTAGCCCAGATACCGTACATTATGTGGTATTGAGGAGTGAACCTAAGATATTATGCATACTAGGCAAGCGTTCTGCCAGCTAAGCTACGTCTCCAACTCCTCATCTGTATTTTCTTTGCAGACTGTTTCAAGGAAATTTCTTTTTAACATTCATTCTGTCATCAAATGTTTTATTATATATCTATTGTTTGCCAGACATGGAGTTAGATACTAGAAATATAATGGAGTGCGAAAATAGATTTGTAGGAGGACAGTTTTGGACATTGAGTCTGAGGTGTTTTTGATACATTCACATAGAGGTGTTTGGTAGGTGGTTTCCTGCTTAAGCCCTTTGTGGCTCCTCCTTGTTAGGATAAAGTCACAATCACTTAACAGGTTTGTTTGTATGTATGTATGTATGTATGTATGTATGTATGTCTGTATCTACCTACCTATCTACCTAACCTATCTATTGATGGTTATATATATCCAATATGTAATATTGAGTTGAAGATGAAGTCCTTCCTGCTTCTAAACTCCCCTCCCCATTAACTTTTTCCTGCTACTTAGTTGGATTCACATGGTCTGCCATCATACTCTGGTTTGCAGAGAAGGCTTCCAAATGGGCTTCACTATGAGACCATTTTCCTCTGGATTATTATGTACTGCTATATTGTGGTTTGTGTGCTGTCTCTAATTGTCTTTTGTTTTGAGATAGGGTCTTCCCATGCAGCCTAGACTGACCTCCAGCTCATAGTTCTCCTGCCTCTGCCTCCTGGTGCTGGGATTACGAGTGTGCTCCCATGTCTAGCTAATCTCTAATCTTTGAAAATTGAGTAAAAATCATTGGAATTTTAGTCTGATTAGAAAATTTAAGGATAATAATGATGGCTACACAACAAATGTGAATGTACTTAAAATCCCTGAACTGTAATAGTGTTGAAATGGTAAATTTTGTTTTTGTATATTTTGCTGCATACATACACTTAAAAGCTTATTTGTCTTTTACTTTTTCTCTAAATTTTCTCAGCCTGAGATATTCTTTGATGTCGTCAGTCTCTCCACGTGGCAGGAAGTACTGAGTGACTCTCAGCGTGAACACCTCCAGCAGTTTCTGCCTCAGTTTCCCACAGACAGTGTGGAACAGCAGAATGAGCTCATTCTTGCCCTGTTCAGTGGGGAGAACTTCCGCTTTGGGAACCCTCTGCACATTGCTCAGAAGCTTTTCCGAGGTCCGTAGCTCAGTGTTCTGTTTTCCATAGGGCTGAGGGTGAGGACACATTCACTAAAGCGTGCGTCCCCTTCTTCGTTTTCTTTTCTATTTTCATGTACAGGTGTCGCCCCTAAAGAGTGATTTTATGTATTTATTTATTGCCTATGCTATTTTATTTTAAAAAGATTGTATTGACATATATAGAAAATGCATAATAGACCTCAAATGTATAACCATCACAAGAAATAAAACATTACCAGCACCCCAGAGATCTTTTTTATGACTAGTTTTTAAGGTTTCTACAAAAAAGAAGAAACTGGCTTTCTGTTTGCTCTTTTTCTTGCAGAAAATGGTGACATTTCACTGCTCGCTTTGACCTCCCCCTTCCTCTCTCTCTTAAAGAAGGGTCTTACTGTAGCCCAGGCTGGCCTTGAATTCATACCAATCCTCTTATTTCAGCTTGCTGAGTGCTGGAGTCACAGCCATGTGCCCCTACTCCTGACTTAGCTTATATATCTTTTTACAAGGTCATCCCTTCACATAAACACAGTCCTGTTAGCCGAATGTAAGAAATTTTACACTAAGCAAATATATAAAATACTTCTTACTTTTGTTTTCTTTTTTTTCTTACCATTTTTTTCAAGACAGAGTCTCACTATGTATCCCTGACTGTCCTAAAACTTTCTAGGTAGATCAGGTTGGCCTCAAACTCTGAGATCCTTCTGCCTCTGCCTCCCTAGTGCTGGGATTAGAAGTGTGCACCAGTCTGCCTTGATACACTTGATTGTGAAAGGTCATCCTTTCTCTTTTAGAGTTAAGAAGTCATCTGTTGAGCCATGTTTTGGGATCCAGTCTTATTTCTCTGAAGCCTTTGTTTTACCCAGTGGTCTTTGTTTCCATGAGTGATCCTTGCTTGAATTAAGTAGTACCTTAGGCATTACAGAACTATTTAAGATCACTGTTGGATCACAGTTTGCTCTCTCACCTATGGAGAGGAGCAGAGGAAGCCTGTTCCTTGTTTCTGAGGTAACTGTTTTTTGCAGGATGGCCTGAAAGGGCGGTGTATCTCCTTGAGTTGAGTCGTATTAAACAGAACTTGATAGTGGCTAAAGAGGAGAGAACAGGCCTACCATTTTAAACCTCTTGTTAGCCTAAGAATTTTAAAGTAACATTCCTTGTTTATTGGTAGTGGAGATCTTCTCACATGTGTGTGCTAGGCAGGTGCTCTGCCAGCTCTGCCACTGAACTGCAGCCCAACCCCCCCCCTTTTTTTTTTGGTCTTTTTAAGACAGTGTTTCCCTGTAGCCCCAGCTGTCCTGGAACTCATTATGTAGACCAGGCTGGCCTTAAACTCAAGAGATTCACTTGCCTCTTCCTCCCAAGTGCTGAGATTAAAGGTGTGCGCCACCACGTCTGGCTTCCTTGTTTCTTTTTTTCTTTTTTTTTCTTTTTTTGGTCTTTTTGAGACAGGGTCTCTCTGTAGCCCCAGCTGGCCCGGAACTCACTATGTAGACCAGGGCGGCGTTGAACTCACAGAGATCTGCCTGCCTCTGCCTCCCAAGTGCTGGGGTTAAAGGTGTGTACCATGCCCCCTTTTTCTTTTTCTGAAGAGACTGTTCTCACTGTGTTGGCCAGACTGGCCCTGAACTGGGCCCATGATACTCCTGCCTCACATCCCAAGTAGCTGGGATGACAGGCACACCACATACCATCATATCTGGCTGCTTTTCCTCCTCCCATGGGTTATTAATTTAAAGGGGGAGTTCTCTGGTTGACAGAGATCTGTTTTTTTTGAGAGGGGGTTGCTTTTTTTTTTTTTGATGGTGGGTCCTCTGGTGGGAGCATACCACTGTCCCTGCTGGAACAAACTGGGGACGTGGAGGGATTTAGGGGGTTATGTAAGGGGCCTCATGTAGGTGAGCAGTACTACAAATACTACCCACACACAATTCAGTTGTCCAATAAATATACAAACAAGGAATATCTAAGACAGAAATTGCTGTTTATTTCACAGAGTAGTGTCATATTTCAGTTCTAGTTTTGTTGAATATAACTGTCTGGCTCTGGTTATTATGGTTATCAGCCTTGGTTGAACCATCATTGTTTTTGGATTCTTTTATTTTTGGTTCTCTTTTTTGAGTCTCTAAGTCATATTTTCCTTCTGTGCTACAACCACATCTTGCATACCTATTATGTGTATGTGGACTGATGCATATACAGTTTTACCTCTGTGTTTTTAAGATGGACACTTTAACCCTGAGGTGGTCAAATACCGGCAGCTATGCTTCAAGTCACAGTACAAACGATATCTCAACTCGCAACAGCAGTATTTCCATCGGCTGCTAAAACAGATCCTTGCTTCTAGGAGTGTAAGTAATACTGGGGAGTGGATGTGCAATGAGGGCAGTGACCTTGAAGGTCTCTTGGCATCAAGTAGTGGTTCAAATGCAAAACAGGAGCCATTAAGAAGTCAGGCTTTGTCTTGTCTTTATGATCTATTTCTTAAATACATATACCTGATTTCAGAGATGTTAAAACACAGAAAACAAAGCATTTCTTAAAATTGGTGAAATGGGGGCTGGAGAGATGGCTCAGCAGATAAGAACACTGACTGTTCTTCCAGAAGACTGGGTTCGAATCCCAGCACCCACATGGCAGCTAACAGCTGTCCATAACTCCAGTCCCAGGGGATCCGACAGCGTCTTCTGTCCTCTGTGGGCATTGAACAACATGAGTGCACTTACCTACATGCAGGCAATACACACATACACATAAAATAAAAATAATAAATAAAATATAAAAAAAATTGGTAAAATGTAGTAGCTTCATATTTACCAAGAAAAACAAAGGATTTCAAGTTCACCGTGGGTTATTGAGGATAGTTAGGATGCTTTGGAATTGATGTGTAAGTGCATACTGGCTTCTGAATTCTGTTCAGATAGGTAGAACACAGCTTGGCTTTAGGGTGCTTTGCAGTCTGATAGTTCTCTGAGGGCAAAGTTGTTAATGAGTTCTTAACTTTTTTTATTTTATTTTTAACTTTTAAAAAAATTTATTGAGAATTTCACACATGGATATAAGGTGTTTTGATCAAATCCACACCCACTCCCTCCTCTCCAGCTCCTCCCATATCCCTCAACTCTTTTTTTAAATTACCTTTTCATTTAACTATTTTGAGAGCAAGACAGACAGAGAGACAGAAAGAGACAGGGAGAGTGTGTGTTTGCACACGTGCGTGCATGTGCCACAATGTAGGTGTGGAGTCAAGACAACTTGGGGGAGTTGGTTCTTTCTACCATGTTGGTCCTGGGGATCAACTGAGGTTGTCAGGCTTGGCAGCAGGTACCTTTACCCTCTGAGCCATCTCACCAGTCCTGTTAAGACTTCTTTGAGTAATTCTTTCAGCTGTAGTATAGAAATACTTGGATGTTTAGTATAAGTATTCATTCTGAATGAAGCAGTTCACCACTCTGAAGATTTTCCTCATGTAATTCAACTTATGTCTTCATTATCTTAAATGCTTACAAATAGAAGTGTTTTGGATTTCAGATTTTTTTTCCAGATTTTGGAAAAAAATATTTTTCCACAACACAGTATTTTTGGGATGAGACACAGTTATAACCGTAGGTTTCCCATGTGCCTTATCTATGTAGCCTAAAGCGAATTTTATACAGTATTTTTGGTGTGCTTATGTTTAGGCTTCAATCTTGCACAAGGTGCCTTGTGGGCATTTCACTTGTGATGTTTTGTTGGTACTCAATGAAGCTTCAGATTTTGATTTTTGTGTGTGTATCCGGAATGCTCAACCTGTAATTAACACAGGCCCTTTTTATTTGTACTTGTTCATACATCTGCATCTTTGTCATTTGAGTAGAATAAAGCATGGACTATCTAGAGAGCCAGATTTGATGTTGACCTGGAGGCTACCTGGTCTCTTGCTAGGATCTTCTGGAGATGGCAAGAAGGAGCGGCCCGGCTCTTCCCTTCCGCCACAAGCGCCCTTCACCATCCCGAAGCCCGGAGGAGCGGGAGTGGCGGACCCAGCAGCGCTACTTGAAGGTCTTGCGGGAAGTGAAGGAGGAGTGTGGTGACACTGCCCTTTCCTCTGATGAAGAGGGTGAGTGTCCTTGGGCACTGGGGAAGCCTGAGGTATTGGAGCCAGTGGTAGCCATGTATCTCCCAGTAAAGGAGCCTTCTGAGTTGTCTTGGGGGGGTGGCATGTGGGACTCAACAGTGGTTGGTGGTTGAGTTGTTGAAACATCCCTCTTAGTGTGACTCTGTGCCCCCACTACCCTTGTGCTCATGTGGCACTCAGGTTAGATGAGAACCTCTTGGACAGATCTCTGCAGAGCAGGGTCTCTCCACAGTAGGCCTCTGGTACCCATTGTGCCACTTGAGAGAACTGCTTTTCCCCTTACAGGAGAGTAGTAGTGACTGTTGGCCTGCTGCAATGCGACCCCATCACTCTGTTGAAGTCTCTCTCCTGGAAGAGCCGTTTAAATGACCTAAGTGTGCTCCAGCTCATCTGGGGAAGGGTCAGAAAGGAATGTGGAACCCTGGCCTCCATGTTGTTGGCTTAGCCCTGTTGAACCCAAATGGCCACTTACCCAATCTCCCCTATTGGAGTCCACAGCCACGTTGGATTTACAAGAAAAATTTTCTTTTGAAGATCTCAACTCATGGCTTCCAAGCTCTCCAGCACGTTCTCCTAGTCCTGCGGTGCCCCTGAGGGTGGTGCCCACGCTTTCCACCACGGATATGAAAACTGCAGGTGAGAACTGGGCATTGCTGCTGCTATTGTGAGAAATCTGTAGAGTGAGGGCTTCCTTAGGGAGGTGGAGACTAGATCCTTGCGGGCCATGAAGTAGTAGTGTTCCTCACAAGTGGGTGATTGGGAGAAGTGTGTGTACCACACAGTACTTTGACATCTAGAGGCAGGCCTTCTTTTATTCTGAAATTGTTCTCAGGAGCTGATCAGCCACTATTTTGGGCTAAAGAAAACAGAATCCTAAACTAGCGATGGAATATTAATTGTAGCCATAGCAGTTCTGTAGATTGCAAAATCTAAGCGGAATTTGATTTGGAATAGGAACAAGAGGAGAATGTTAAGAAGACACTTCATTGTGTTTTCAGGTCCACTAAGTAGCTGAAGTCATTTGTTGGCCAACATACAGAAAAGTGGAAGTGCTGATCCTATGACTGATTATTTTTGCTCCTTATAGTACACAGGAGTCAGAAGGGAGAATCAGGAGTATCTTACTTTTGAATGATTAAGTGACCAGGCAGATTTAAATCAGAGCATCATCATAGTAAATGCTGGTCCATGTGGTTTGGTTCATTTACTTTCAGATAAAATAGAACTGGGGGACAGTGACCTGAAGATAATGTTAAAGAAGCACCATGAGAAGCGGAAACATCAACCAGTAAGATTGTGGTGGGAGTGGCCACGTGTGGCTTTTAGTCTGTTGCTTCCAGTTTGGCTGCCCCAAGGATGAGGATGATAGTCACTGCCTTGATTGTGGTTCTGTGTTACCACAGGAGCAATAGGAGAGGCTAGTTGGCGTTAGAGGTGTGGGAGGCCCAACAGAGGTGTGCGTTGGAATAGGAACAAGAGGAATAGGAACAGTGTCTGCTTCAGTCTTTGTGTTAATAACTGGTTTGTGAACGAATCATTCTCTCTGTGTCTTCCATGCTCAGAGGTTGGGTCTATTAGTCCTACAGCCAGTAACAGAGCCAAGAACCAAGCCTGTGCTCCTCCACTTTTTACTATCTGTTATTTCATTTGAATAAATTGAGGGAGCATCAAGCTGGAGAATACAGTGGAGAAGTCAGCCCATCTGAGGCAGAGGGGTGAGGTGGGAAGAATCCGCATGGGGAGGGAAAACTGAGTTCTTTCTGTCTTCTCCACATATGGTGAGACCAAGCAGATCTCTTAGCGCCTCAGAATCCTGTTGTTAAGATTTTGTAAAATATAATGCTGTTAGAAAGAGCACATGAAGTAAGGAATGCAGAGGAGCTCTAGGATGCAGATGCCCTACATCAGAAAGGCAGAGCTGGGTTTTCCTGTGCACCACTGTGAAGAGTGTTTTTTATTTGTGTATATTTTAATTCAATGTGATTACCTCAGGTATCCCTCAAACACTGTGTGTGTTAGGTAATTTGGCATAGTCACCATCAGTTTTGGGTTCCTTTTTGACCCTCTGTAACCACATCTCTGATGTCCTATCTAGGATCACCCAGACCTTTTGACAGGGGACCTGACCCTCAGTGACATCATGACTCGAGTAAATGCCGGCAGGAAGGGCTCTTTAGCAGGTAAAAGAACGTCCCTTCTTGGCATGTTCACATGATTATGTTCACATGTTGTGTTAAATTGTCTGTCATAGCTTCCATTATGCCAGCCACCTTTGTTTTGTAATTGCCCTCAGATTTTAAATCAGTACAACAGAGACTGGGGAGGTGGCTAAAATGCTTGCTACATAAGCATGAGGACAAGAATTTGGATTCTAGCACTCGTGTAAATGCTGGGTGAATGTGGCAGTCTGCCTATAACCCCAGCTCTCTGGAGGTGGAGATGGCATCCCTGGAACAAGCTGGCTAGCTAGACTAGAGAGACCTTGCCTCAGTAAATAAAGAGAAATACAGTTGAGGAAGACATCTCATGTCAACCTTCTGGCCTCTACATGCATGTGTACATGTGCATCCACACACATGAACACACATAACACATCGATACGCAAATGAAATGAGTACAGCAGATCATTATATGTTAAAATCAAGTTATAAATCATTCCCTGAATTTAGTTTAAAAAAAAAAAAAAGACTAAATGTCTTCTACTGAGTCTTTGATGGACCTTGAGAAAAGGTGTGCAGAGAAAAGGTGTGCAGAGAAGACTCCTCAATTCCTAATGCAGAAAATGGAGTTTTGTGACTTCTATTTTTCTTTCTTCTTCCTAGCCTTATATGACTTGGCTGTCCTTAAAAAAAAGGTGAAAGAAAAAGAGGAAAAGAAAAAGAAGAAAATAAAGCTGATTAAATCTGAGGCAGAGGATCTGACAGAGCCCCTAAACAATACTGAAGGGGTGCCACCTCTCTCACAGGCCCCCTCTCCACTGTCAGTATCTGCTATCAAGGAAGAGTAAGTGAGGCACAGAGATTGCCTCACAGAGGCACAGAGTTAAGCTGAGGCTGTACCCAGTGCTTGGGGCTTGTATGAGTTGACTGTGTATGCTGAGCCCCTGGGGATCTTGCTTGGAAAATGTGCCATGTGGTCTTTTCTTGACCCCTTGAGCTCTTATGCTTACAAGGAAGCTCCCTGAACCAATCTGGCATGTGTTCTTGGTTATTTTGGTTGTTCTTATGTTTTTTAAAGCTATCTTCTAAACCTGTATTTATTTTTTTTTGGGGGGGGGGTATGCGTATGTGTGCATGTGTGCCAGAGCTTATGTGTGGCTATCAGAGAACAACCTGCAGGAATTGGTTCTCTTCTACCATGTGGGTCCTGGGATTGTCAGGCCTGGCAAGTTGCCTTTGTCCTCTGAGCTATCTCCCCTGCTCATTCTTACATATTTTCCCCTCTTCTTAGGCCCTTGGAAGACCTCAAGCCTTGCCTTGGAATCAATGAAATATCTTCCAGTTTTTTCTCTATTCTATTAGAGATCTTGCTGCTGGAGAATCAGGCTAGTCTTCCTATGGTAAGCATTCAAAGTGCAGAGATGAGAGTAAGAGTCTGCAAAGTGTGGGTCTCTGGAGAGGACTCCTCTTTCCCCTGTGGCTCAGAAGAGGGGGAGGAAAGAGTATAAGCCAGGTAGGAGGTACATGACCATATGGAAACAGAATCTTACAGGCTCTTGGAAACTTGCTCATACGAACCTATAGCCCATGCAAACTCAAGCAGACAAAAACCAAGAATAGAACTAGAGAAATGGGTAGCAGGCCACACTCGTAGCCGAAGAACTATTGGCAGCTGATTACTGCTGGGTGAGGGAGAGTTGATCTTTAAGGGAGCAACTCTGGATAGGCTGACTAGACCCTAGTGGATGAACTTGCACTGGGGGGACGTCTGGGTACACTTACTTGACTCGATAGGTTTTTAACATATATGACACAATGCATGAAATCTGATGGGGCACGTTGTACGGAGGTTCAGAAGGGGGATGGAGTATAAAGATGATTAAGATGTTTCATATTTTCAGTTTTGAAATGTTCGAAAATTCGATTAAAAAAGAAAGTTTCGAAAGTTATAAAATTGCTGAGATCTTCAGCTTAGGAAGCAAAGCCCTGCTGGATTCCCCTCAAAGTACTGCAGCTAACTTGCTTTGGGAATTTGACAGACTATACATGTGCCTTGCAGCCCTGGCACCTTCCTGAAGTTGCTGATACAGAAGAGAAACCTAATTGGGAGTCTCTTTCTTCCCTCAGCTGGAGGATCGGGTTTTAGATTGGCAGTCTTCTCCAGCCAGTTCCCTCAACAGCTGGTTCTCTGCTGCCCCCAACTGGGCTGAGTTGGTGTTGCCTGCTCTGCAGTATCTTGCTGGAGAAAGCCGAGGTGAGGACTTTTTTGTGAGGGTTCATCCTGTTTTGTTTCATGCAGTAAACTGTAGCTGTGTTCATTTGGCCCGTTATGCCTGTGCATCAGCCACACCCTGGATGTCTCTGCTTTCCCAACACACCAAGAAATACTCAGAATCTCCCCTGGAGCTCAGGGTGCAGGTGGTCTTGAGTTTCGCACTTGTGACCTGTGTGCCTTCTTCATGTGATCCATTTCTTACAGTGGTTCCTTCCAGTTTCTCACCATTTGTTGAATTCAAAGAGAAAACCCAGCAGTGGAAGTTGCTTGGTAAGTAACTTGTTACCTTCCCCTCTCACTTCCTCCCCCTCTTACTTCTCCCCGCAGTGTCTTTTGTTTTCTAGTCAGCACATTCCTACAGACTGGCAAGAAAGGCTTTGTAAGGGCTTTCTTCCTCTGTGAAGGAATCCTTGAAGACTCATTGTGTTTAAAATGTGTGAATTTGACCCCACAATCTCTTAGGTGGAGTTTGGCTCACTGAAGCTGAAACCGAGTAGCCCCAACTATTGTACTACTGTCTGGTGATGACTGAATTGAAATCCTCAGTTTTCTACAATAGCATCAACATTTACATTAGCCGTGCAATGATTTTATATTAGTTTATGGTCTAGTTTTTTTTTTTCTTTCTTAAAATAGTCTTGTTATTGAGAATAATAATGCAGTGAGACATTAGATAACCCCCAAAGACTAGTTTTTAAAGAATGGGATCCTTCTTTTGTTTAAAGTTATAAAGCCCTGCTTAGTGTTAATTATAACATGCATCTAAAGAAACGTGGTGGTTATTAAGCTGGTCTTGGTGATAAGACAAAAATTCATTATTGGTGTTTTGTTTGTTTGTTTGTTTTGGTCTTTTTGAGACAGTCTCCCTGTGGCCCCAGCTGTCTGGAACGCACTATATAGACCAGGCTGGCCTTGAACTCACGAGATCCGCCTGCTTCTGCTTCGAGTGCTGGGACTAAAGGTGTGCGCCACCACACCTGGCACTTTATTGGTATTTTAATGAAATTACAGATGTGGAACCCCTGGAAACAGACTGACTATACAGTAAAGGACTCAGGTGATGCCGTCACATACGGGGAAAGTGTCAAGTGAGAAGAAGAGAAGGCTAAGAAGTTAGCTTGGAAACTGCAGTAGAGGCAGCTGAATGCAGTGTATATGGAGAGGAAGCAGCTACACAGCTAGGGTGAAGCCTGAGGTTATACGGATTGTATAGGGTCTTTAAGAAGTGGGGAGTGGCCATTGGCATAGGTTGCTCTTTTTTGGTCTTTTTGAGACAGGGTCTCCCTGTAGCCCCAGCTGGCCTGGAACTCACTATGTAGACCAGGCTGGCCTTGAACTCACAGAGATCCCACCTGCCTCTGCCTCCCAAGTGCTGGGACTAAAAGCGTGCACCACCACACCTGGCTTTCTGGATTGTTCTTAAAAATAAAAATGTTTGTGGCCATGATGAAGTTGTGAGTTTATTTAGCAGGCAATTTCTTAGTGAATGATGAGGGTTGAAGTGGAAGGTGACTCACTATGCAGGCTATGAAGAGTGACCCCGTCAAACTGGTAGCTAGAGTCAGGCATGGCAGGCATACTCTTGCTAGATCAGCAAACTGTTCCTTACAGGATTTTTAGGCTTGTAGACTATGCTTTCTTTTGCTACCACTCAACTCTGTCGTTATAATACAGATCAGCTAGACAGTAGGAAAATGAACAGGCGATACTGTGTTCCTGTCAAACTGTTTACTAGGGCAGGTGGCTATTAGCTGTCCTTGTGATGCATACCATGGAAATTTGTAGATGCTACTAATCCAGATTCTTGCTACTTAAACATTGACCAGCATACCAGCCAGGGAATATGTATTTCTCTTTTTAGAATTTTTAGTAGGGGAGGAAAGGAATATAGGGGACTTGTGGCCAAGAGAGGATTCTTTTTTGTGAATGTATGGGTGTGTGTGTTGAGGGTGCACATGTATATGTGAGTAGGTGTATGTACATGTAGAGACCAGAAGTCGATCTTGGATTTTGTTCCTCAGGAACTGCCTTACTGGGACCTGGGGGCTCACTGACTAGGCTAGGCTAGCTGACTTGTAATCGCCAGGGATTTGCCTGCCTCCACCTCCTCAGTGCTGCAATTACAAATGTATACCACTGTACTTGGCTTTTCACATGAGTGCTGGGGATTTAACTCAGGTTTTCATGCATGTATGATAAGCACTTTTCTGACTTGAGTCCCAAGAGAGTAGCTGTTTTTTTCAATTTATTTGCGTGTTTGCATGTTTACGTGTGTGTGTGTGTGTGTATGTGTGTGTGTGTGTGTGTGTGTCTGTGAGTGTGCAAATGCCATGGCCTGTGTGTGATTAGGGAACAATTTGTGAGAGTTGGTTTTCTCTTTACACCAGTGGGTCCCGGGGATCCAACTCAGGTTATTAGACTTAACAGTGCCTTTACGTGCTAAGCAATCTTGCTAGCACCCAAGAGGGATTTTTTTTAAATGGGAGAACCCTTGGGTGAGTTTAAGTGGTGATGGGAAGGTATCATGGAGAAAAGGAGGTTGAAAATCCAGGCAAGAAGTGATAGCATTTCTGAGAAGAAGAATGGTTAGTCTGGGTGGCAAGAGGTGGCATATTTCTTGTCCTTATAGAAGGAAAGGAGGGGACAGTGAATTCACAGCAGTGGGCTAATTGGTCTTCTGCAGTAAGTTTGATGTGTTGACTTTTCAGTAAGGTAGAAGGTAAGAGAAGCGAGCTTTTTATCTTCTGCAAGTGAGAAGGGAGGTTTGAGGAGAACAGAGAGAGAGTCATTATGGAGTGTGTACAACCATGTGACCAGTGGGGCCTTAGGAGGGCCAGGTGGCCATGAGGGCCAGTGGCAGCTACTCGCCTTTCTCCTGTTGTGGCATGCTCTGCCCGCTCTGTGCTAGTTTCTCTGGTAACTCTCAACTGCCTGGTTTGAAGCATGGAGATTGGCTAGTTCGCTGATTTTGGTAGATGAGCATGATTCAAAGATCAGAGGGCAGTGGCAGAGGCATCACATGGTTAGGAAGCATGTTATTGAAATGATGGGCTTGGACTCTGCAGTGATCAGGAAGAACAGGTCATTGGGTGCGTGTGGCAGTCTAAGGGAAGAAGTAGAGTTGTAGAAGCTAGGTCAAATTGAAGTTTAGGGGGGAGTTGGTGAACCAGAGAGGGGAAGTCCAGGTGATTGTAGTCAGAGAGCAGAGTACAGGTTCTTAACCCTGTCTGTGTGATACAGCTATTTGAGAAGGTCATTAGTCAGAATTGAGGTGAAGGTGTTTATTGGACTGTCCATGTGGGGTGTGGTTATTAGTGTATAAGTATATTGGGGAAGATGAGCCAGTGGCCTGTGAAGAAGAGAACACGGGACTAGGGTGGTATACATGGAGTGTAAGAGCTTCAGGGAACAGAGTGCTTTCCTCCCTGTTACAGAGTCACAGTGAGACTGTCTCAGAACACCAGAAACAAAACCAAACTCACAAAAAGTCCACATATTTAATGTATACAATTTGATAAATTTTAACATGCATGAGAGCCATCCTCATAGATAATAGATACATAGACCAATCTAAGACCTCCAGTTTCCTGTGTTTTTTGTTTTCTGATAAGAACTTGAGATACCTCCTCAGTCTGTCTTGCAATATGTGGTACGAGTTTATTAAGTAGAAAACCATTGTGTGCAGGTCTCTAGATCTTACTCCTCTTGTATAATTTTCCCTTTTCCCTTCCCCCCTGGCCCTCGGGAACCACCATTTTTATTCCTAGCTTCTCTGAGTTTTACTGTTTTTAGATACCCTGTCATGTTTACTGTTGCATGTGACTGAATTTTCTCCTTTTCAAGACTGGGTACTGTTCTTTTGTATGTTGCAACACATTTTCTAAACTTCCTATAATCTGTTGATACATATTTAGTTTTTTTTCATATCTTGGCTATTATGAGTAGTTGCAGTGAACAGTGGGGTACAGATAACTCATTAAGATATTTTTCCTTTTTGTTTTTATTTTGTGGCAGGCTCTGTTAGCTCAGGTTGGCCTCAAACTCACTGTGTAGCTGAGGATGATCTTGAACTGATCCTCTTACCTACATCTCCCAGATTACAAGGGTGGCTCAGTTGCTGAGGTCTTAATTTCAGGTTTTTTAGTAAGATGTGGAATTACTGGATCATGGGCGTTTTCTTTTTTTTGAGGAGTTTCCATATTTTGCATAATGGCTGTACCATTTCACAGTCCCACCAACAGTGTATATGGGTTCTCTCTTTACATCCTTGCCAGCACTTTTAATTTTTTGTCTTTATAAATAGTAGCCACCCTGATGTGTGGGATGATATCTCCTGGTAGTTTTGATTTCCTTGGTGATGATACTGATTCCTGTAGGCCATTGTGTGCTCAGTTTGACAAATAATCCATTCAGATCTTTGTCCACTTTTGTATTATTTGTTTTTTTTGGAGGGGGTCTTTTTTAAGACAGGGTCTCATCTCCCCAACTGTTCTGGAACTCACTAGGTAGACCAGGCTGGCCTCGAACTCACAGAGCTCCACCTGTCTCTGCCTCCCAAGTACCAGGATTAAAGTCATGCACCACCATGCCCAGCTGTAATATTTGGTTTTTTAAATAATTGGTTTGTAGGAGTTCCTTATAAATTTTGGGTATTAACTCCTTATCTATGGTTTTTCTCCCATTCTGTAGATTATGTTTTCCTTTTGGCATTTCTCTGTGCTGTGCCAAGCTTTTTAGTTAAACACAATTCCACCTGTTTATTTATTTTTTTACCTTCTTGCCTTTCTGTTTGGTGTTATATAAAGAAGATTGCCAAGTGCAATGCTATGGAAACTTCCTTGCAGTTTAAGTCTGGAAATTAAATCTTTTTTTTTTTTTAATATTTTTATTTCATGTGTATACATATATTGCCTGCATGTAGATACTTGCAGCTGTGTCGTGCAATGCCCGTGGAAGACAGAAGAGGCTGTCAGATCCCCTGGAACTAGAATTAACTGCCGTGTGGGTGCTGGGATTCAAACCCAGGTCTTCTGCAAGAACAGTCAGTGTTCTTAACCGCTGAGCTATCTCTCCAGCCCCTGGAAATTAAATCTTTAATCCATTTTGGTTTTTGTGTATGCTTTGATATAGGAGTGTGATTTCTTTTTTTTGTTGTTGTTGTTCTTTTTGTGGCAGGGGGTCCCTGTAGCCCCAGCTGGCCTGGAACTCACTATGGAGATCAGGTTGGCCTTGAACTCACAGAGCTCTGCCTGCCTCTGCCTCCCGAGTGCTGGGATTAAAGGTGTGCATTATCACACCCTGGCTAATTTCATTCTTATAAATGAAATTACATTTTTTCTGGCTTCTGTTTTTTCAAAAAATCCTTGTCTCATGTGATGTATTGGTATCCCTGCCAAAAAATGAATTGACTAATATATGTATGTCTTTATTTCTGGGCACTGTATTTTGAAACAGGCTTTTGTATTGTTTTTATTTACATTTTCTAGCACAACTGGGGAACAAGTGTTTGAAACCAGTTGGGGTGAAGAAGAACCCACCTCTGTTGTCGTTGTTGTCTTTTTTTTTTTTTTTTGGTCTTTTTGAGACAGGGTCTTCTGTAGCTCCAGCTGGCCCGATACTCAATATGGAGGAGACGGAGCTAGCCTCGATCTCATAGAGATCCACCTGCCTCTGCCTCCCAAGTGCTGAGACTAAAGGCGTGTGCCACCACGCCGGGCCCTACCTCTGCCTTCTGGCTCTAGGACACAGCTATGAAAGGATGGGGAGACAGCATCCCCAGGGCTAAGAATCTAGAAGTGAGTTTTAAACAAAAGCAAACTTGGAGTGCAGGAGAGGTAGAACAGGATACTGTTTGATTGACTAGGAAGTAGCCTTTGTGGAAGGTGCATTGGGAGCAGGGAGGGGTGTCCCAGGGCTAAAAGAGCGTGGAGGTTTTAGAGGGTGATAGCATTAGTGGTATTGTGAGTTGACTAGTGAAAACAAAGGTAAGCATACTGGTGAACATGTTCACGTTGCTGCTTTGGAAAATGGAGCTGCATTCTCACATAGCTGACTTGTGTGGTGCTGATCCCATGGTAGTGCCAAACTGGGCAAGAGATCTAGGTCAAGAAAGAGCTGGACACCCCAGTAGGACTCTGAACCAAGTGATAAGAGAAGAGGGCACAGAGAGAACTATTCTCTTTCTAGGTAGGTCACAGAGTTAAGTTTCTTCCTCCTCAGGTCTTCTCACTGCTCTGCCAGTGTGGAGAGTGCTTATGTACCCCTAGCAGCCAGAAATAAAATCCTTCCCTAGGTGTAAGCTTGTAGTATCCTTTGTGACACCTACCTTTTAGAATTGGTTTTATTAATATGAGCTCTTTCCTCACTTGATATGAACTTCATGAGGGCAGAGAATGAATTCACTAAATGGCCCCAGCTTCATCCCAGTGCCTGTCACACAGTGGCTACTCAGTAAATCCTGTTGGAAGAATGATGTAAAGAAGTAACATCCTGGGGTAGTGGTCCAGGCAGTGAGGGCAGTGGCATCAGCATGTATAGACTGAATGTGACAGCTCCAGCCATGGTCTCTCTCTTGAATAGCTAGAGCTGGTAAAGAGAAAGCATTCTGAATATTACTATAGATTTCTTACTTTTTTGTGCCCCTGCCCTGCTTGATAGGTCAGTCTCAAGACAATGAAAAGGAATTGGCTGCACTCTTCCACCTGTGGCTAGAGACCAAAGACCAGGCTTTCTGTAAGGTGTGTTTCTTACTTTGTCATTGGGTTTCCAGAGCCCTCACGTTAGTAAAAATTCTCCAGCCCATTTACCTGCTAATGTTTCTCTTTTTCTTCAGCAAGAAAATGAAGACAGCTCAGATGCCATGACACCTGTTCCTCGCGTGTGAGTATAATGTTCTTGTAGTGGGTGGTGTCCCATGAAACCACAGCTTCCCATACTGCTGTGTTTCTACTGACATGTCTTAGTTTGTCAGACCTTTAATGGACCTTAGAGACCCTAGAAGTCCGTGGACTCACCTACCTTGGTATACTTGAGGAGGGCACATGTACTTCTCAGTGGCTCTTGATTGAAGTAGTCTCTGAGGGACCCTGATCTGCCTTGTAGCTGGGCCGCTATCCATGCATGTCCTTTCTGGTTTCCACTGCAGAATGATTCATCTAATTCGTCTTTCTCATTTTACTTATAAAGAAATTGGTGGTTTAGTGACTTGCTAAAAGGTCAGTGTCAGGACTCTGGGATAGAGTTTAGGTCCCTTGACTCCCAGTTCTGTGTTCTTTGTCATGTCTTCTCATGTGCTTGTTTTCTATGTATTGTTTAAACCACAGTGTAGAGGTCCAACTTAAGTGTGGCCCAACATATGTGTTCAAATAATAGGGATTTAGAACTCAAGTTCTGGGTACTTTCTTTGGAAAGCAAAAAAACACACTCTTGCCATTGAACACACTCTTGCCATTGAACATACTTAAAGTGCCTTGTTGTTCCAAGGCTGACATTTTTGTTGCTATTAGATTGTGTTGATTTATCAGCAGTAGGGAAAACAGTAGGTAAAGATGCCAGTCTCTTTGTGTCTACTGAGAATATTTTGGGACCATAAGAGCAGGGTGATTTAGGAAATACCAGAGGGCTTAGAGCTGGAAAATGGATTTGGCAGGGGGTGAGTACTTATGAAGGGATATTTTTCCATGTGGCCAAGGTAATACTTCTGGGTGCTGAGAAAGGGTGATGGGTCTGTGACCTACTTCCATACTTTGAGATGATACAGAACTCTTTATGTTCCAGAAGAACTGACTATGTAGTGCGGCCCAGCACAGGAGAGGAGAAACGGGTTTTTCAAGAGCAGGTAAGATCTTTCTTGAAGCTAGTATAAGTCTCTGTCTCTGTGAGGCTGTGCAGACAGAAGCACTGAGCCTGACTCTCCTTGACCGCAGCTTCTTGGTTGTTCACACTCTTTGTCTTAGATAGTCCATTGGCTGAGGTTGCTTGTTGGGTAGAAATGGTGTGGTGAAAGGGATGAAAACTATTTTGAATAATCTTTTCTTCCAGATAGGAGAATACATTTTATTTCGTTGTCCTTTCCTGGGTGACTAGCTATGAGGACCATCATTTCCCACTGTGGTTGGGTCATCATTCTCAGTGGGATTGCTTGTTTTCTTGTTTTAATATCTCCCTGTAGACCCCACTATTGTAAGGGAGCTCTAGAGAGAACGCTGCTAATTCTGACATGGCGACTTTCTGCCTTTTCTCTTGCTAGGAGCGTTACAGGTATAGCCAACCCCATAAGGCATTTACCTTCCGCATGCATGGCTTTGAGTCTGTGGTGGGGCCAGTGAAGGGCGTGTTTGATAAGGAGACCTCCCTCAACAAGGCTCGTGAACATTCACTGCTGCGCTCTGACCGTCCTGCCTATGTCACCATCCTGTCCCTTGGTATGTGGTGTGTATTTATTACCAGGGATATTTAAATTTTTACCCCAAAACTTTGCTTGAATCAATTCTATACTCCTTGTACCAGCCCTACCACTTATGTCCTCCATGCAGTGATGGTATTGAGAGTCAGGCATAGTATTTGTAAATTTTCGAATCTGAAAGATGACCAAGTAGATTCTGCCCTGGGAGACTGATGCCAAGAATTCATGCTTCTTGAAGTCATGTTTATATTGATGATCATTTAAGAACTACTCACAAGCCAGTAGTTATGTAAAGTGTAGGATTTGCTTTTTTTTTTTTTGTCTTTTTGGTCTTTTTGAGACAGGGTCTCCCTCTAGTTCCAGCTGTCCTGGAACTCACTATGTACACCAGGCTGGCCTTGAACTCACAGAGATCCGCCTGCCTCTGCCTCCCAAGTGCTGCAAGGCGTGTGCCACCACGCCTGGCTTGGATTTGCTTTTTTAAAGAATTTTTTGCTGAGCCTGGTGGTGCATGCCTATCATCCCAGTACTTGGTAGGCCAAGGCAGGAAGATTGTCTAGAGTTTGAAGCCAGCCTGTATCATCACATAGTGAGAATCTGTCTCAAAAAACAAGGTGATGAGAACAGAGTATTCTTTGTGTTATGAGTCCCTTTAGTAGTGAGACCTGTGGACACCTTCCCAGAATTATGTATTTACATATTTAAAGCAAAATTCTTAGAGTTACAAAAGAAGCTAGTAATATTTCAATAATTATTAAAGTGTTAAAGTTATGTGAAAAAATAAATGTTTCAAGGCTGGAGAAATGGCTCAGAGGTTGGGAGCACTTGCTGCCTTTGCAGAGGACCTGGATTTGGTTCCTAGCACCCACATGGCAGCTAACAACTGCCTATAACTTCAGTTCCAGAGGATCTGATTCCCTTTTCTAGCCTCTATGCTTACATGTACTCAAGTGTGCATTTGTTATAATATTGAATGTCCTAGTTTGTTTCTCCATTGCTGTGACAAAACACTCATGACAACTTTCAACTTGGGGAGGAAAGGGTTTATTTAGCTTACATCTCCCAGGTCACAGTTCATCAGGGAGCCCAAGGTAGGAACTCAGGGCAGGAACCTGGAGGCAGGAGCTGGAGCATAGGCCATGGAGGAACTCTGCTCACTGGCTTGCTCCCCTGGCCCCTGCTCAGCTTGCTCTCTTATCCAACACAGGCCCACCTGCCCAGGGGTGGCACTACCCACAGTGGGCTGGGCCCTCCCACATCACTCATCAAGAAGATGCCCCTCAGACATGGCCACAGGCCAACAGACATGGCCACAGGCCAGTGCAATGGAGGCAGTTCCCCAATTGAGGCTCCCTCAACGCAGGTGTGTCAAGGTGACACTAAAGCTATCCAGCACATTGAATGATAAGATTTAGTAGAGGTTTACAATTTCTGTAGCATCCACATGGGGGCGGTGAGTGTAAGTGATTGGAGTTGTTATCTTCAGTACTTGAAATGTATAAAAAGTATTTGGGCTGGGTTGATGCTGCACACCTTTAATCCCAGCACTTGGAGGCAGGGTTAGGCAGATCTCTATGAGATCAAGGCCAGTCTGGTGAGTTGGCCAGGTCAGGTCAGCTGGGGCTACAGGGAGCCCCTATCTCAACAAAAACCAAAAAAACAAAAAACTGAAACAAAGCATTTGGTTTCTATTACAATACTAAAATAATAGCAGTGTATGGTCTATAACTATAGTTGATAATTGAAGGAAATGCCATCAAGTCATAGAATGAGTGAAATTTTTTCTATTTTAGTGCATGAATGAACTTTATTTTGATGTTCATCCTCCTACTTCCAACTCTTCCCAGGTCCCTCCCTGCGTACACCCAACTTCCTGCTCTCATTTAATATAAAAAATAACATATGCATGGTTATAGGATACTCCACAGCATTGGGCACTCCTACCCCAAGAAATAACTTTGCTTTTCTGTCTTGGAAGCTGTTGACTGCCAGTACCTTTGCAACTAGGAGTGAGGCCTTTTGAACCTCTCTCATCCATGCTGGAATATTGACTAGATTGATCTTGTGCAGGTCTAGTGTAGGCAACCACAACTATTGAGAGTTCATGAGTGTAGCCGCCTGACACATCCAGAAGATAATTTACAGCAGCCCTCCCTAACATGTGACTCTAACCGTGTTTATGCCCCCTCTGCTGTGACAGTCTCTGAGTCTTGCGGGGAAGGATTGTGATGTAGATGAACTCTTTGGGGATGAGAACCACTGATTTCTAAGGTGTCCATGGACCTTTGGTTTTGCCTGTAGGAGTGTCAAGTGTAGGAAATTCCAGTGATAATGTTTCTGGCCACTAGAGGGCAGTATGCCCCTGACTCAGCTGTCAGGTGAGGCTCAGGAACCATGACCCTAAGGAACTCTGCCCCACCAGAGCAGGTCAGGGGATGTAGTTCCTCAGCGGAAACTGCTTGACCCCTGCATTTTCTCATGTCAGTTCGGGATGCTGCAGCTCGGCTGCCTAATGGAGAAGGAACTCGGGCAGAGATCTGTGAACTGCTCAAGGATTCTCAGTTTCTTGCTCCAGATGTCACCAGCACTCAGGTAAGTTAGAGAAATAGTTGTGCTTGACTCCATTTCAGCATGTATTTGGGAAAAATTATTAGGAATTATAAGTGACTTTTTGTGTGTGTGTGTGTATGTTACTCAGGATTGAACCCAGGGCCTTACATACATTAGGCAAGTAGTTCTTTAACACTGAACTACGTGTGTAGCACCTAATGTCAATTTTATTTTATTTTACTTAAATTAAATTTTTTTGGTCTTTTTGAGACAGGATTTCCCTGTAGCCTCAGCTGGCCTGGAACTCACTATGTAGACCAGGCTGGCCTTTAACTCACAGAGATCTGCCTGCCTCTGCCTCCCAAGTGCTGAGATCAAAGGTGTGCACCACCACACCTGGCCTGACATCAGTTAAAAAAATGAGTGAAGAAAAGCGAGGCATGCTGACATATAACTAAAACACTATCTAGTACAAATATTTAAATATAAATATAAAATTTAAAATCTTAAAAAAAGATGAAGGAATGTTTAGAGCCAGATGTATGCTTCATTAATAGCAAAGGTTTGGGATTGTTACTGCCTACATTTTTCAAAATGTTATTCTTTTCCCTTCTCATTTTTTTGTTTCAGTTATGGGCTTTTTAATAGATTTATTTATTTTAATTTTTTATTGTGTGTGTGTATACGATGTGGTACACATGTGCCATGGCCCATGTATGAAAGTGAGAGAACAGTTTTCTGGAGTTGATTCTTATTTTCTTATATATTTATAGTCCCAGCACTGGGGAGGCAGAGGCAGGCCAGCCTGGTCTACATAGTGAGTTCTAGGCCAGCTGTGGCTACAGATAGACCCTGTCTCAAAAAGATTTAAAAAAAAAAAATGGTGTATGTGACTTATGTGTGCCACATGTGTTTGACTGCATGCAGAGGCCAGAAGAAGGCATGGGATCCCCCAGAGCTGGGGCTGCAGGTAATGGTGAGCTTCCTGACTTGGGTCCTGGGACTGAACTCCAGTCCTTTGGAAGAGTAGCAAGTGTTCTTAACCATCTCCCCAACCCCTTCATTTTACAGTAAAGGAAAGGCCTCTATAGTTAATGAGTTTTCAATATCCTTACAGTGAAGAAAGAGTATCTTAGGAGCTTATCTTTTTTTTCCAATTGATGAGGTGAACTGTTGGGAGGACGCAGCTAGGCTGGGATCTTACCTGTTTATCCTCTATGACTTTTACATCCCCTGTTTTTTCTGTGGAGTCCAGATGACTCGTGTTGACTTGATTGGACTTGTCACTTAATTCCATTTGCTCTGTTCTTAGGTGAACACAGTAGTGAGTGGTGCACTGGATCGGCTTCATTATGAAAAAGACCCTTGTGTGAAGTATGATGTTGGACGAAAGCTGTGGATCTACCTGCATCGTGACCGGAGTGAGGAAGAGTTTGGTATGTGAGGCCTCTAGCAGTGTGCTGGCTAGATAAAAGCATCTGACTTTCTGTTCCTGTCCTGTTAATTCTCTTAGTTGGCATTCAGTTAGGACAGTGTTATGGAGGCAAAATCCAGTCCACCACAAGGCCTTGGGTTATCTTGTTTTGTTTTTGAGACAGGATCTTGCCATATGACCAGGTTGACTTTGAACTTGCTGTGTGGTCCAGGCTGGTTTTGTACTTGAGATCCTTTTGCTTCTGCCTCCCCAGTTCTGGGCTTATTGGTGTGCATTATCCTATCTGGTCTTTCTTTTGTTTTGAGACAGAGTCTAGCCTGTGTAGCCCAGGCTGATCTTGAACTGTCTTCCTGCCTTAGCTTCCTGATACTGGGATTACAGTCTCTGCCTAGTGAGGTGGCTTTTAACAAAGCCTTCCTCATTTAGCATGCTAAGGTCAAACTTCCTAAACTAAGATATAACCATCCTTGTTTATAGAACGGATTCACCAAGCTCAAGCAGCAGCAGCGAAAGCCAGAAAAGCCCTTCAGCAAAAACCCAAGCCCCCATCCAAGGTGGTAAGTGACCTCATGAGAGCTTTTACCTTTGGGATTCTGGGGTGGGCAAGGTGGCATAGACATTTCACCTAACTCGGTGTGTCAGGAGCCTGAGGGCCTTCCTTCTCTGAGCCTTCATGATGCCTGAGGTGAATTTCTTTTTCTTTTCTAGAAATCTAGTAATAAGGAAAGCTCAATGAAGGGTCTTAACAGTGGCCCTTCTGAGCAGAGTCAGATGAGCCTCAGTGACTCCAGCATGCCACCCACCCCAGTCACACCTGTAACCCCCACAACACCAGCATTGCCCACCACCCCCATCTCCCCTCCACCTGTGTCGGCAGTGAACAAAAGTGGCTCTGCCTCCATCTCAGAGCCAGCTAAGTCTAGCTCAGGGTAAGTACCTGTTGTGTCTTCTCTAGTTCTTTTCTTCCTGAGTCCTTTTGTATACATGTCCTGAGTTTTTGCCTTTTCTTTGTCCCTGATTTTCCTCATAGTGTTCTTCTGGTGTCCTCACCAACAATGCCACAGCTAGGAACAATGCTGTCCCCAGCTTCCATCCAGACTCCACCCAGTTCTCAGGCCACTGCCCGGGTTGTGAGCCATTCTGGCTCGACTGGTCTGCCCCAGGTTCGCGTGGTGGCCCAGCCCAGCCTTCCGGCTGTCTCTCAGCAGTCAGCAGGGCCAGCACAAACACTGCCACCGATGACGGCAGGACCGCAAATCCGGGTGCCAGTCACTGCCACACAGACCAAAGTAGTACCCCAGGTAAATGATGAGAAGGTTCATTGAAATAACTTGTTTCATGTTCAAAGCTGGGAAAGCACTTTAGGTACTCTGTTTTTTTTTTTGTTGTTGTTGTTTTGTTTTGTTTTTGTTTTTGTCTTTTTTTTTTTTTTTGGTCTTTTTGGGACAGGGTCTCCCTGTAGCTCCAGCTGACCTAGAACTCATGTAGACCAGGCTAGCCTTGAACTCACAGAGATCCACCTCCCAAGTGCTGGGATTAAAGGGGCACCACCATGCCCGGCTAGGTACTCTGTTTTACATGTTGGAAACCAGATCTTTCTTACATTAAGGCCATGGTAGAGAGGGGATGTAAGTCCTGATCTTGTGACTCTAAATTTCCATTGTACCATAGTCCTGACACTGACTGTTTATGTGACTCTTTAGAGAAGATTCGCATGTCTGCCTTGTTTTCTTTTCTGTATGTAAAATGGATAAAATCATATTTGTTTGTATGTAGAAGTGAAATAAGATGTTAAATGTGAAAACATTGAAAATTATCCAAATTAAAGAAATTTAGTGTTCCTTCCCGAGTGTGGTGAGCTTTAAACCCTGATAGCAAGGTTGCTTTCAGAATGCTTTCTGGGTGGAGATGTATAGGGCCCCTCCTTGTCTGCCTAGTCCCATCTTGGTGTCTAATTGGACTCTTGGCCTCACGTCCTAAACTAGGCGGTCATGGCAACTCTTCCAGTCAAAGGACAGACTACAACAGCCACTGTGCAGCGGCCTGGACCTGGGCAGACAGGGCTTACAGTGACAAGTCTCCCTGCAGCAGTCAGCCCAGTGAGCAAGCCAGTCACAAGTTCTCCTGGGAGCTCTGCTCCTAGTGCCTCCACAACAGCTGTCATTCAGAATGTCACAGGACAGAATATCATCAAGCAGGTAAGTGGACCTGACTCTGACTCTGGTGTCTTAAAGCAGAGAACCACTGGGGTGGGATGTTCCTGAACAGAGTGGGTACCCATAGAGAAAAAGATTTGTCATCTTTGACTCATAGTTTGGAGATACATCAAGTGAGTCCCCCACATTCCCCAAAGGCAGGGCTGCTTTTATGGATGCCCAAGAGATTTCCTGTTTCCATATATTTCAGCGTATGGTAGCTGAGTTTATGGAGTTATGCAGTTAAGTTACTGTAGCATATTTTACGGCCTTTGAAGTTTGCCACTTCCAAACGTGGAATACATTTGTACTTTCTCAGTGGTGAATATGCAGGGATAATCACTGCACTTGAAAAGTTGTGAAGCACCCTAACCGCTGGAGCTAGGGCAGAGCCTTCTGTCCACTTTGCTATGCTGTGTGTGTTAGCCTTTACCAGTCTGTCTCATGGCACTGTGGGTAGCATTGTTTTCCCCTTTTTGTAGATGAAGAAATAGAGCCATACAATTATATACAGTAACATATTCATGCAGCAGTTATTATTGTCTTCGTGGAGTTTAGGCATGTGTTAAACAGACTAAGCCCCTGCCTTTGTGGAGTTCGTATTCCATAGGGCAAGGAAACAAATAACTAGATCAATGTTGGATAGTAAGAAACTGTGAGGGTCATTAGGGTAGGGATGGAATGTCATGTGCTGTTTCAGCCATGGTGACAGAAGCCTCCTTGGAGAAGATGACGTTTGAAGGAGACGTGAAAGGTAAATCTCTGGATGCTGGGTACAGTGCACTGCAGAGAACAAGAATGGAAGGAAGGAGACCTTGGAGGGCAGCTACTGCAGTCCAGGTGAAAGGTGTGGAGAGCACTGGTTGGAAGTGGTGAGAAGCGAATGTAGTTTTGTGGTTTTCTGGTGGCTAAAGTGTGAGTCTGAAAGAAAGAAGGGGCTGAATATGACTGTGGGCTCTGGCTGGAGTCACTGAGTAGATAGTGGTATCATTTACTAAAATGGAAGGAGATTGGGGTGTGGAGCCTGGGACAGATAGATTAGTGTTTTCATGCTGGGTGGACAGTGCCTGGTGTGGGGTGTGCCAAAAGTTGGGTGAGATTCACCTATTGAGTAGGTGTGACTGGGCCCAGGATCCAGATTGTTTAAAGGCATGTAAGGTGAGGAAGCAGAGAGTGCTTTTGCATAATTTCATTTTTAAAGATTTATTTTGTTTTTAATTATGTGTATGTATGTCTGTCTGTATGTGGGTATGTGTACACAAGTGTAGGTGCCTGCAGAGGCCAGAGTCATAGTGTAGGTGCCTGCAGAGGCCAGAGTCATTGGGTCCTCCTAGAACTCGATTTATAGGTAGTTGGCCTGACATGGGTACTGGGTACATGGGTACTTGAATAGGACTCAAGTCCTCTGCACGAGTAATAAATACTCTTAACCATAGAACCATTTCTCCAGCTCTATATGAGTAATTTTAATAGGAATTTTGCCACTTAAGAGAGCAGAATTTGGAATGGAGTGGTGTGAGGGAAGGAGTGGATTGGGAGGCATAGAACAATAAGGCTTGGCAGTTTTTAGGATGGCTAGTATCTCCTTTGTTTGCTTTTTTGTGGCAGTGGTCCAGTAGAAGGACCACCAAGAGGAAGGCTTTGGGTGAACCAAAGTGATTGAGCTGTTAGTCATGGGGCAAGTACCCTTCTGAAGCTGGTAGAGAACCCAGGGAGTATGACTCTCGAGGGCCTGCTTGGAGCTGATGCACCACACTACTGCTCAAGTGGGGGTGACCTAACTGTAAATAGATGCATTTGAGATACTGGGGGAAATCCAGACATGTACTGACAATACTTAAGCTGAGTAGCAATAGAACTATGATTCTTTTTTTTTTTAAGCTTAAAAAGTCCTCTGCTAGGTTAGAGATGTACACATGTATTTAGGTCAGCAAAATAATGTATCTTTCTTTCCTTTAAAGTATTCCAGTTCTGAGGCTCAGTGATGAGGCCTTGGATTTAATTTCCAACACCCCTGTAAGGCAACTCTACTACCTTACATTCACTTCCAACCTCACCAGTGCTGCTGGAAGCCCTGTCAAAATTCCAGCCCCTTTCTCCCACTCCCTCCTAAAACCGAGGAAAGATGGATAAGACAAGATTGACAAAGTAATTATATTTGAAGCTAAGTGAAGGGTATATATTTATTATATTCTTTACTTTTGTTTATGTTTATTGTTTTTCAAATTAAAAAGTTATAAAGAGTAGGGATTTGCCCAGTCCTGCTACATGACCTGTGAATCCCTTCATTGGTACTATCTGTCTCCATCCAGGTGTCGATCACTGGGCAGCTTGGTATGAAGCCCCAGACAGGCAACAGCATTCCACTCACAGCCACCAACTTCCGTATCCAGGGTAAAGATGTACTGCGTCTGCCACCCTCTTCCATCACCACAGATGCCAAGGGCCAGACAGTTTTACGAATCACGCCGGACATGATGGCCACGTTGGCCAAGTCTCAGGTTACCACAGTCAAACTGACTCAGGACCTCTTTGGGACAGGAAGTGGCACTGCAGGCAAAGGCATCTCTGCTACCTTACATGTCACTTCTAATCCTGTCCATGCAGCTGACAGCCCTGCCAAGGCCCCTTCCACCAGCGGCCCTTCATCTGCTCCAGCGGGTACCACCGTGGTCAAAGTAACTCCTGATCTCAAGCCAACAGATGCCTCGAATTCAGCTTTTCGCTTGATGCCAGCTCTGGGAGTGAGTGTGGCAGATCAGAAGGGAAAGAACACAGTGGCCTCTTCAGAAGCAAAACCAGCTGCCACCATCCGAATTGTGCAGGGACTGGGAGTGCTACCTCCTAAAGCAGGCCAGACCATCACTGTTGCAGCTCATGCAAAGCAAGGAGGCTCTGTTGTTGGTGGGTCTGGAACTGTCCATTCTTCAGCGGTATCCTTGCCCAGTATGAGTGCTACTGTGTCTAAGACTGTGGCTGTGGCTTCTGGGGCCACAAGTACCCCCATCAGTATCGGGGCAGGAGCCCCCACTGTGCGGCAGGTTCCAGTCAGCACAACGGTTGTGTCCACATCACAGGCTGTGAGTAATGGTGGTAAAGATTTTAGCCCTCTAACTCAGAAACCTTTTCTAGAAGGAGACAGGGTTTTAAAACATAGCCCAGGCTGGCTTAGAACTTGCCCATATGTGCTGGTCCAGACTCTTCAGTTCTCAATTCATTGGTCATCCTGCCTCACTCATTAAGTGTTGGGATTGTAGGTGTTTACCACTATACCCAGAAACTTCTTGAGGTTGTTAACCCCTGTCCCTCAGGACACTCTTTCAGAACTAGGAAACTAGGTACCCTATCCATATTGCCTCATTTGACCCAATAGATTTGGGTTGTTTGCTTTTGGAACACAATTTAGTGAAATGAAGTATATGCGTGCATTCTATTTTTTAAAATAGAGATATATTTTTATTTTATGAGTGTTTTTGTATTTCTGAGGCAGAGATTGCTAAAGTGAATCTTGAAGATATACTTATTAAAAGTTTTGACACCGATTATGCTACCAAAAAGGCTATACCAGCTTATATTCCCATCAGTTGTTTTTTTTTTTTTTTTTTTTTTTGCCAGACTTTAGCCAGTGCTAGCTGGTCCAAGTGAAAAGTTGTCTTACTAGAGGAAAGGGAGTTCTTTCTCAATTTTGTTTCCCCAGTCATGAGGAAGGTTGACTGCACCATTCGTGTAGAGACTGCCATATGCCCATGCCCTTCAGTGGTGGATTCTTTGCTAGTTTTTTGGGGAGGGTGTAGTAGTCTCATGGTATTTATCTCTCCATAAGCATAGTAAGTATTTCCTCTAATTTGGGACTGGGAATGTAGCTCAGTGGTAGAGCAGTTGCCCAACAGGCTCAAGGCCCTGACTTTTAACCCTAGCATTGCAGGGGGAAATATTTTCCTTGTCTCACCTTGTGGGGTTTTTGTTGTTGTTGTTGTTGGTTGTTCGTTTTTTTCTTTGAGATGTGGTTTTTCTGTGTCTCTCTGGCTTGAACTCGTACCTGGATCAGACTGCCTCAGGTTCCTGAGTGCTGGGATTGTTACCATGCCCAGCTCAGTCTGACATCTTTTAACTTTGTATTTGGAACCTTTTCCTCTGCAAGTATTTAATTTTATCTGATTATATCTACCAGTGTTTTCCCTTTTTTCCC